CTTTGTCATTAATGATTATTTTTTTCTGTAAATGGATAACATAAAACTGATTCTTCCCAAACTTCATTGGCCTAAAACACCCTATAAACACATTTAGAATTGTGCTTGTCCGTGATGATAAATGGAATAAACGGAGAGAGTGAGAATGAATGAATAAGCGAAAGAAACACAAAGCCAGTCATAGGGATAAATAGAGATATAGAGAGATAGGGAGTGAAAAAAAAGAGATGTGGGAGAGAGAGATAGAGAGAGAAAAGAAATAAATAAAGAGAGAAAGAGAAAATAAAGTAATAAAGAGAGGGAGCGGGATGGAGAGGGTGGGAGAGGGAGAGGGAGAGAGAAAGAGAGAGAGAGTGAGTGAGAGAGAGAGAGAGTGAGAGAGAGAGAAGACAGAAGACAGAGAGAGCTCAATCCCTAGGTGTTAGGTGTGAAAACAAGACGGCCAGGAAGGCAATAGTCACTGCAGATTCTGGAGGCGTATATTTAAACAGTCGGAGCGACAGAAAGAAGCATGTGGAGTTATTGCCAGTAAGAAGAAGAAACAACTAAACATGTCTTCTATATGTTCAAGGGCCTTAGGTAGTCGGAGATTCTTACTCTTGGGTGAGAAAAAGCTGATTTGAAGGATTATATATAGAAAAGATTTTCCTATCGCGCGCCACACACACAAATATTGTGTTTTTGTCAATAACATATTCATTTTTGATGATGTAAGCATCCAATCAAACAACTTTGTGACTTCTTATGTGGCAGCAATAATTCAATACTTATTTATGTTAATTTATTACAGTATAAGAAAACGTTGAGTTTGAGGAAAAATTAGAACAAACCTTTTTCACAGTTTATGGTTTTGAAAAATTTACCTGCTGAAAAAGGATTTTATTAAGTTCGGAGGCAACGGCAAAGTAATTTTATTTTTTGGTCCTGAATAACAAAAAATGAGCTGTAGTTTCATTTCGGCCTGTGTGTACATTCCGACCAAAATCATAAGATACGATGTTTTTCGTCCCGCAGGCCACAAAGAAATCTCACAACACAAAGTAAATTTTCTCGTGTATGTGTTGTGCAGAATGAGTTGAATGATCCGTACACTGTTGTAACTGTCATGTTTTTGCTTTGAGAGAGGTCAATTTGATTTTAAGGAAGAGTTACGTCGTACTGAGTATGATTGTGCTTGAAAACACGCCGGGGGGTGTTTTCGGTCGGGTTATGTGCCAAAGGGTCCGTTACAGCTAAGTGTTTTCCAAGAGTCCACCCGGTCCCGCCGTTTAAAATAATTCTAGCAAGTTGTAAATGGAGATATGCCCGTCAAAAGGCGCCACCCCGGGCTCAGCCAGGAGCCAACAGCAGCTCGTTATAAAGGCATAAAGTGAATGGCAGAGGATATCCAAGAATGCGGCACCCTATTTTAAACATCGCGTTACCTTCAATCCCAAAATAATTGTTTTGGTAGCCGGCCGGTCCGAGTGGGAATCCTCTTCCGCATGGCGCTTCTAAAGGAAAAACTGGTCCCGCGACCACCCTCCGGTACTTTCTGAGTTATGGGCACGGCGGCCCGAGCCAATAGTTGACTCACAGTTTTGGCCTAACGGCATCCCTTCCCTACTCTGGTTAAATGTGGACTCCTCTCCAGTCGAATCTTCAGACCCGATTACGACCCACCTAGGCATTCACCCCCGAGCAGTTTTCCGCATTTTCTTTCGCGGATCCCTTACTCTCTACCCGTAAGTGGTTAATGTCATGATTGTGTTTGTTTTGCTCGTTTTTCTTTCTTGTTTGTGTTTAGAATGTTGGAAAACACCAAATCTGTAGCCCGGTGAAATTTCACAAATCATAAGCATCTATTTGTTTATTTGCTTACAGCGCGAGCAGACCAAACAATTTTTTCCATAGGTGACTGCTGTTTTTTTTTTGTTCATATTTACTGACATGTACATTCACGTGAATAATATACAACCATTGACACAGATAAAACTTATTATATTGACTACAGATAAAATTTATTATTTTGTAATCTTACTCTCAATATTAAATGATAATTAACGATAATCATCTTTTCATTAGAACAAATTGAAAGAAACATAATACCCACGCAAATACTTTTATGTATATTATTATAAGTTTATAATAGTCATAAATCACGACATTCATATACCACACTGAAATTTTTTCTAACAAATAAAGTTAAACGTATTTAAAAGCCAACAATCATAAATCTTTTTTCTGTTTATGTACGTCGTCAAATTGAAAATCCTTTTAAAATTAAATCGACCTAAGTTCCACCCTTCAAATGAAACCTTTTTGACATTATCAAATAGCAGATAAATACCCATAAGCCCGTGATGACAATATTGATTATTTTTAAAGTAAAATGTAATTTTAAATAATCTAAAAGGGAGAAATGGAAAAACTGGTTTTTTTAGAAGTAAAACTGAAATGACAAAATCAGCACACACACAAAAAATTGTAATAACATTGGGCTATTTTTAAATTTAGTTCATTTTATGAATTTATTTAAAAAATCTTTCTAATTTTAAGTTTTATTTTTAAATATTTATAACGGATTAATTATTACAAATAATTAGTAAAAGAAATGATTTACGAATTATTTAATTATCACGATTAATTATTACAAATAATTAGTAAAAGAATTGATTTACGAATTATTTGATTAGCACGAGAACACTCGATAAGTAATTAATCCGTATGTTTATATTAATCCTATCTTATCGTCATTAACATAATTGCTTTCTTGCCAACAATTCGTAAACACAAGGCTAAATTTATATTTAAAAAGGTAAATATTTAATTAATTCAAACTCCAGAAGCTACTATATTTAGAAAATCGCTACATACTCTACTATTTTTAAATAGGTATTACGTAAATATATTTTTCATTATAGTTTACTTACTGGAGAAAATTAACAATAAAATGTTATTTTCAGACGGTACTATGCTCAATAGTAAATACCTCTTGTAAACTATAGCATTTCGAATTCTGTTTGAACCTTTCACCCCACCAATAACCTTTCCTAGTCGTAAGCAACCCTTCCACGGCAAATATAGAAACCCTTTCCATGATGAGTTGTAACCTTTTTCCAAGTAGAATATAACCGTTTCCATATGAGTTGAAACATTTTCCAAGTCAAATGTGACCCTTTCCACAACCTTGTCCCTATTAAATGTTACCTTAAAAATTAAAATATACGCTTCATACGTTACCACTAATTAGGAAGACAAGACATAACAATTATAATAAAACATTATTAGTTGAGCAATTCTAAAGCTAATATATCGAAAATAGTTCAAATGAATATTAAGCTTTTTAAAGTTATTTTATAATCTGGTGGAAGCATAAAAATCTAATCAATCTGAAGTAAATCTGTGTTTGAATGTGTCTTCTTGTTCCTTTATTGAATGAATGAAAAAAGAACTTCATTTTAAAAAAAAATTTCCTAAATTAGTTCCAATTTAAACAAATAAGATTGATAATTATTCCGAAATCGTGAGATGCGGTCTGGTGTAATGTAGGTTTCAGAAAAACATTTTCTTTATCGTGCCAACGTTTCGATCTTTATTGAGATCATCTTCAGGGCTCAAAGTGTTTGTTTTCTGTGTAATTGTGCCATTCTTGTACTCTTGAGCACTCTCAACACGACACGCAAGAATGGCACAATTACACAGAAAACAAACACTTTGAGCCCTGAAGATGATCTCAATAAAGATCGAAACGTTGGCACGATAAAGAAAATGTTTTTCTGAAACCTACATCACACCAGACCGCATCTCACGATTTCTGAATAATCATCGACTAACGGTCACTAATCACCAAACATTTTTACATAAGATTGGTAATTAAACCGTCTGCGCTGGAGGTGGTGGCCGGCTGAGATAGACATGAATAGAAGAGCGGTGAGCAACGCTCAACAAAAATGTCTCTCAGAGGTAAATTAAGCTAGATAAGTTCGCAACTAAGTTGGAAGAACTAACAAAAATTGCTAAACGGCAACATTAGATCATGTTTACATCTCTTAGTGTAGAAATCTGGTGGATCTAAGGGGCAATTCGGACTTGTTATTTTTTATTGTGTATTTTATTATTCTTTATTAATAATTTGACAACGGAGTAACATCGAGACAAGTTAAGAAAATATGAGTGTGTCAGTGAGAAAGACGTGGGAAAGAAAAACAAAAAAGGAAGGCCACCACTCTATTTTGATCATAAATTTTTACGAGGTCTGCAGAATAGTCTAACTAAATTCCTGTACCTCTAGATTTTTTAAAAATATCCTTTGAATACAATATTTCTTATTCGCACTCCGTAGAAAAGTTATTCAAAAATTTGCATACCAACAAAGAAGGCATACATTACAATTACAACAGTCAGAGCTTCACCTTCGTCGTTTTGTTTATTTCTCGAGCATAAACCATGAAGGCCATCGTGCGACAAATAGAAAGCACAAGTGAGTCCGACCTTCCAATGTAAAATTCCACACAACCCGACAATTAAGGTTTGGTGAAAATCTGCAAGCAATCATGTATAATCATGAAAAAAAGAAACTGAATTCCTCTTCCGATCCCTCTGGACAGACTGTTTACGTTCGACCGACGTGTCACGGATTTCTCTCGGCGCGAATCCTCACCAGCGATTTATTTCATTTATTAAACTGTTCATTCAAATTCGAAAGATATATATTTTTTTAATAAAAACGTTTTTTAAAGATCTTAGAAAGCGTGAATGATGGGATTCGCCAGCGTTTAAAATGCTTGGGCCAAATGGTTCGCCTACACGTTTGACAGGTGAAAAACGAGAATCAACATGCCTCTGTTTCTTCCGTGCGTGAATTTAATATGTCTACCCGAGACGTCTGACAATTTCAAAGATTCTCATCTGGTTTTTGTTTTTTTGGGCCTTTTAAAATGATGTCCTACACTTAAATTCTAAAGAAACATCCAACCGTTTCGGAACTTTCACAAGAAGAATTTTTATTAAGGACTTACCCATCGCCACCCTCTCTTGTGAAGATACTCTTTCGATATCTAAAACAGAACATAAAAAGAAAATATTAATAAAATGTTTGCAAAAGTGCTTAAAGTTCTAAGTTGTTCAATTTTTGTACTTTGGCCATTCATTTATCACTTTACCTTGTGAGACGTCAATAATTTCATCGATCATTTAAATGAATCAATAATGAATATTTTATCAAAGTGAGGAATTTGGAACAGACGTTTGAAAAGTCTGAATTAACAAAGCCAGCGAAATAATACACAAAATATTTTTTATTTCGTTAGTCGATAGACAAGCCGAATAATGCAGAGGCAAGCAGTAAAACATAGACAAACTGGAGAAGGTGAACTTGGAAAAATAATCTGAAAGTTTAAAATGGACAAGGGTGATAGTGTAGTTATTTAATTTTGAATCATTTTGTTCTGTCTATCGTCGCACTTTTGGCTTTCGGGTGCGTTCCGGCTTCTTGCCATATTCAATTTAAAGTTAATTTTGGTTAAAACCCACCACTGAAGATGGTGGGATGAAAAGCGTCTGACAGACCAAAACGTTTGGAAAGAACAAAACTACATGTTTATCGCTACGCAAATATCAAGTATTTTGGATGAAAGTGCAGTTAAAAAATCGACAGTAGAGTTTAGACACAAAAACTACATTTTCCAACCAAAAAATCGTCCATCCAGCCGACCTTAGATTAGACAGACATTTGGATTTTCAGTGTTAGGATTAGCTGGACTCCATTTTATCACCAAAACTTTATTTGATGTTTCATTTCCCTAATGAATGTCCATTTAAAATAATAAAAATTAAATACTGTTGCCAAGAATTAAGGTAAACAGCAATTTTAATCTGAAAAAACTGAAAGTTCATTTACAACCTAAACATTTAATCTTTGATTATTTCCCATTGCCAATTTTCTAATTTTAAAGGGGTAGATTATTTACAGTTTCGTCAATTATACAAATACTCGACTTAGACAGTTTATAGAGATCTTGACTAGATAATCCTGAATCAATTTATAGGTCGTAATTCTGCTGCTGTTCTTATTAAACGTAGTGTTTTATGTTTAATTTATTTTAAAACATTCCTAAAAAGTTTCTACTTATATACGAATAAACAAAAAAATATTTTTCATTTCAATTTACGAATTTTGGTCATCTTTGAACTTCTTACTTCGCTGAGAAAGAATCAAGAAGCAGATTTTGATCAGTCTGTTTCTATTCATAGATCGTGCAATAAAAAATCGATTTTCCCTCAACATTTTATCTGCCCTAAAAGTGCAAAGGGTAAATATTTTAATGTAGTTTGAATTTTTAATTATTTATTTAATTAACTATTTTACAATTAAATCATGATCGTCATAGCCATTTTCTTCCTCTAGCATAGTTCATTCCGTTTTTGCTTCTATTCCTCTGGTATTTTTAATATAAAAAATCTTAGTGAAGATTAATTGCTCTTGGAAGGGTAAAGACTATGTTAAATATCTACTTAAAATAGTCCTGGCATTTATTTTTATTAATTTCATTCAAAAGTGGGCCTTAGTAAAACACGACTTAATATTCTCAGTCAGTCACTTAATATTCTTAATCTACTTATTATTGAAATTAATTAAATACGGCTAACCAACCGAAAATGCATTGTTATTTTTAAATAAGGAAACGGGAATGAGATTATGTATAAGATTTTATAAAAGAACTCCCAATAAAAAAATAATCAAACTTGTCAAATTTATTAATTAAAATTAATTATCACCCGGTTTATTACTAGTAGTAAAACGTAGTAATTTAATCCTTTCACCAATTTAGTTTTTTCCTTCTGCCAACGCATATATTTCACCTTTATTTCACTTTGGCAATGAAATTGTATTATTAATAAAAAAATTTTATTAACAAGTACAATATTATTCATTCCTTTTATTACTGCATAAAGTAGACATATGCAAAGCCATCGAATCCGTCTGAGGGATTGCCAAACTAAATAGAAACAATCATCTGAATATAAATAAATAATATAAATAAACGAAGATGAGACTGAAATCAACTGCCATAAAATTAGATTGCGCTACATATATCGAGTTAGATCTAGGTACACAAATCGTTGATCTAAGACCGCACCTCACTATCTCCAAATTATCATTAGCTAACGGTCACTACACACCACACATTCATCTATGATTTCATTGTAGAAGTTTAGTTTAATAAAATAGCCATTAACAAATACGTATTTAAATACTGGATGCATACTTGAAGTTGAATTCAATTACTAAGTTGTATCTGCATTGCCAAGCTTTCTTAAGTATTTAACATAACTACCAGAGTTCCTTCCATTTAAATGCTCAATAAATTCTACAATTGTCAATACAGATCAATGAAATTTTATTGCTAATTAATATAGTATAACATGTATTTTTCATTAATCACTTCTATTTTTTTTAAATATTTTGAGGATTGATGTATAAATCACTACTTAAGAAGGACAAATTTTTTCGTAATATACATAAATTAATGTCATATACATATATATCTGCTTACCAACCAAACTATTCGCCTAAACACTAACTTGAATAGATAAAACCAACCAACTCTTTCGTACAAGTTACTTTCTCACTCCATCTCCACCTCATTTATTTAAACTAAACATTCAACAAAGAAAAACAATTAATAAAGAACGGGATAACTGATTGAGGTGAGGATAAAGAAAAATCCTTTTTAGAAAAAATGTCATCGCTGATAGGTGGGCCAGAGTTGATCGATCAAGGATTTCATTTGTTAACAGATCAAACAATGTATCATCACGAGCTACGTGTTTAAAATTCATTATCAGTATTACTCATTCTGTTGTTTACAGTACGACAAGGTCGGCTTAACTTCTTTTTATCAGTGTTAATAAGTACTCTGTTCTCGATTTACCCTGATTTAATTTCGCCGCGATGTATCAGAAAGTGAGAAACTAAGTTTGAAGTGTAAAAGCCAAGGTCGCCGATTTCTCGTTCCCGTCTTGAATAAATTCCTTATGTTTACGACTGGATCTGTTTGCCAGGAGGTGAAACGGATAAACAGTATGCACTTTATTTGGAATAACACCTACGGTTCGAGGGTGCAGTGTTTATACAAGGTACATCTGCTTCTGGCGAAAATGTTTAGACGAAAAAACCCGAAAGAAACGGAGAAAACATCTTCCGCGTTTTCTTTCAAGGCGGTCATGTGTTTTTAGGAACGCCGAGATAACGTCCCGCCGCGGAGGGGCGGCAGGTCATTAGGGATACAGTCCCTTTGGGTATGATTCATTAGAGGCGTAAAACGGTTATGTCTAAATCAAGGGTGAACAAGTGGATCTGTTCCGACGGAAATAGACTGCTACATGGCGGCTTAAAATAAAATATATAGGCATTCGGGAGCGGAGAAGGTGCCCTCGGTCAACATTGGTGTATAAATAGAGAAAAAGGGGGATCCAGGTTGTACCGGCCCTGCATTCCCGAATCCGACTCGGAAACACCCAACTTGTAAATATTAAGACTCCTGCGCGGCTTCAAGAAAAATGTCTTGTCCTTATGGCGAACTTACGTCATTCTCCAGAAAAACTTTAAAAACGTGGAAAACGGCACTCCTTAGTCCGGGAACGTTAAACAGCAAGTGGACTTGGTTATGAAACAACAGCTTGAGGCGATGCTCGCGAATTTCCCCAAACATTTACATAATAGCCCGATCTCGAAAGTTAAACCATTGTTCAATAACAAGCCGTTTGCTAATTTATGAAGCTAGTGCAATCGGTCTACCTACATCTAATTCTTATCAATCACTGCTTTAACAACACTGAAAAAAAAATTAACCAGCCAAACTTTGTGTACAACCTAAGCGAACAAACATTCAATCATACAACCATGAATACCGATTCCACCCACAAACATCATAAGCACTTCTGCGGGATAGAAGAACTTGTACAATCGGACACTTCTGCGGTATAAGTATTCGTACGCTCAGCAAACTCTAAGGCGAGGAACCATTTGAATCTCTCAATAGGCTGCAATTCAAAAATTCATGTTCCTTGCGGGATTTGAAAAGAAAGAAATACCAAAATGTATATAGAAGGATGTGATAGAGGTTAATAGGTTTCTGGATGGGGCATTGCAGAAACACTGAACATCTGAGAACGATTTGCGTCGATCAAAACGGTGTCTGAAATCTGTCTTAAGACACTGAAGAAATCTCGACACGTTTGCTGACAGGCTATGACATTACATTTTTTTGATCAAAATTGGGAACCCTACAACAAAATCTAACCAATCGCTAGGACTCAAGGGTGTACTGAAAGTAATGAAAAGGATAGCAATCAGAGCACTGAATGCTATGAGAGAAACACTAAAAACAATGGATATGGTATGAGAGAGGAACAGATAGCACACAGAACGTGCATCAGAATTTTAAGACAGCTGACAGAACCTTAACTCTTCTGCTGGAGAGCAATTCAAACTACAACTTAGAATAATGGATAAGGTGTGAGTGATGATTGATGAGGAGTCGTTTGGAATCTCCCATTGCAAGCAATCCTAGAATCTCCTTAAAGACAAACAAAAGTTGAATATATAATCTGATATAATTTTGAACAGGTCAATCAACCAATGTGTGTAGGCTCTGCAAATAGGACGGGAGTTGAAAACCACTTTTGCTGGCTTACTGTTCAGTTCTTCAGATGAGAGGATAGAATCAGAGCACTGGATTGATTCTAGCATCATTAGCACGATGGTTCGATCAAATCGCATTGAAAACAGAGTTCCAGGACTTGAAAGAATCGAGAATGGAGAAACAAAATTGACATGGCAAGGAACTGCTAAACATCTGACAGGACCTTCTCTTCTGCTGGAGAGGAATTCAAACTATGACAGCACAACCTAGAACAGTGGATAAGGTGTGAGTAATTCAAGCAATTCAAGAATCTCCAAGATTCTCCACACAAAGAAGTGTGTTATATAATCCGATAAAATTTTAACAGGTAAATCAACCAATGTGTCGAGATTTTGCAAATAGGTCATCTGAAAACCCCGTTTGCTGGCAGAATGTGTTAACTTCTTCAGATGAGGACATATAAAACCCTACAACAAAACCGTCAGCAGGGCCATGTAATCAAACTTCTCAGAGGAAGAACAGGCGATGTACCTCAAAAATGCGTTCTTCATCTTTGAAACTCTTGAATAGTTCATATTAAAATAAAAACCTGACTGTGGTCAATAAACGCCAACTCATATTTCAAAGAGGGCTGACCAGAGGCTTCGAGAGTGGCTCCGAAATAGAAATTATTCATCCGCCACATTTTTCTCTCGACCTGCCTATTTGAAAAGTTGAAGAACTAACTCTTGGAATGTTTTGTAGGAAAAATTTGTCATGACAAGTGTTCCACAGACCGAGTCGTCAAAATCAGAATAAACCGGGAAGGAACAACAGTTGAAATAAATACGAACCGAGCAGGTTGTCGAAACGTCCGCGGCCTTCCTCCCCAGGGAGGAGACAATGGCAGGTCCTGTTACAGTAATGCCGTCTTACGATTTGTCACGGCTGAGTCAATTATTGTAGCTCCGCAGGACTCTGCCGAGAGATGTGAGACGTGTGAGTGTATTTTGTTGCCCGACTCCGTGTTTACAAGCGTTGGAAATATTTATATTATAGGGGCGAGGAGTAGTGTCGGACATCGGATCAAAGGTTCGAAAATAGCCTTTCTTGAAAGGGTGCTCGTCTAGCCATTTCCAGAGGGAGGGACGTTTTCTACCTCGAGGCTTTAATTTTATACTCGAAACAAACGACTTTTATCAATTATAATTATTAATTTAATATTCGCTTAATGCATTCATATCGTTTGGCAACATCCTTCCTATTCAGATGTCCGTTCTTTTATAAATTCATTATTAATGTCATTCCATGCTTTTCCCCATTTAAAAATAAGAATAAATCTTTTTAATCTATGTTGGTCAGCCTTGTAAACATTAATCCCTAGTGGATTTGTCGTTTTTCATCTAGGCGCCTCTTTTGAATGGAATCAATAAAAATAAATGCCAAGGACTATTTTTAATCAAGAACTATTTGAAATGTTTCTTCCCCTTTCAAAAACAATATATCTTAATTAAGAACATCCCGTTTATATGTATCTAAAAGGATTAAAGGTAAACGCAACAAAATCTATGTAAAAAAAACACCAGTAAAATTAATTGTAAAAGATAAATTCAACCTTGTTAATCCATATTGGACCAACATATTTCCACATTTCAAATTCCAAGAAATTTTAAATTCCAACCTTCTCCAGAGTTTAAAGTTTTAAAAAGGAAATTATATTCGGGGACGCTTCATGCACTGCGAATTTCATACCAAAAGGGAACGATTCGTGTTTAGAATTTTTATAACTCGAAAGTCCGTCGACCCGGAAAGGAATTACTTGATTTCCTAGGGTTCACCTCCGGCGATGACCTTCGTTCGACGATGAAGAGATGGGGTCAAGGTCGGGAAGCCACTGACATTCTCCCCCCGAGGGGCTCACCATCCCCGGGGTACTTTCCAAGCCGAGGATAGATAAATTTTTGAGCACGGGAGACCATTGGCCCCAGGGGTTAGTGGCCGTTTGACAAAGGGAAGCACGGTAATCGGATTATATCCACACCCTTACTGCCTATAATTTCACATGACTTCAAATCGGCCCTAGTTACCGTGTTTCTCCTCAGCAGACATCACCTTTCACGTACTGTCAAAGTTCCCCAAGTTTTCATTTGTTTCTTTCGTTTCTGTTTGTTCATTACACCGTGCGAGAATTTTCAAATAGATAAGTGTTTTCTTGTATACTTCAAATAGTGCTTGTTCAGATTCCAAACCTTATAAATAATCAATGGGAGGTGGATTCAATAATTCAATTTCCGCCATCCAAAATAGTGTGTATGTGTATCCCAGTATGTCCTTTTTAATATGTTTGCCAGTCAAGAACTGCTTAAATAAAACACCAGGGCGATCGGAACGATCCAGGCTCCAGGTTCGTTACTTCCCAGTCCTGTGTAGTATCACAAAATAAGGCTAATGTTAGTATGTATTTTATGAAGTGGAAAGCAAAAACTACAATATAAATTATATGGAATTTGTGTCGAATCCTGGATAGTCCACAATCTCTGTACTCTGTGATTAGGGTATAGAGATATGGATTTTTCAACGATTCCATAAAGCAATAAATTAATCCTTTATAAACACTAGAATATCTTGACAATAATTTATACGCTTTTTGTTTTCTGTTTTTTTTTTTTCTGTTTTCTACGCTTCTTGTACGGTCAAAAGATATACAAAGCTTAAAACATTGCATTATTCTCGTGTAGAGCTTTAATTATGTTCTTCCTGATACTTCTGTTCATTCAAAAGGCAGAGAATTGAGTTATTTTTCAAACAATTCCCGAGAGTAGATAAATCTGTGTTATTATTTTTCAAATATTTCAATTAGCGTTTTCTATAATTGTAATAACGAGTGTTTGCTGGAAACAATATCCGAGAACAGCAGACGGTAGCGGATTGACAGCAGCGCCGCGAGGACGGTTACAAAGGACATTGTACGCCGCGGCGAGTCGGTTCCCAATTTCTTCGGGCTCCGCTTCTCTTTGTCGAACGGATTCAGCAGACAATATCCCATCTGCAACTGGCAGCAAGGCCATTCTATACACTGTGTTACGCGCTATTCACAAACCGGTGATTACCACCATTCTCCCCCCAACAATGTACACTCCGGGGCTGAAAACGTTGGCTGTACGAACAGGCATTTGCTACATTTTTTGCTTGTTTTCTCCCTAGTTTTTCGTAAACACTCCTGAACTTTAAAGGCGATAAAGGAAATCTCCTTGTACCCTAAGATGACACAGTCAAAATACAGTCACTTGTCTTTTAGATGTTATTCCAACTGCATACTTTTGCCATCTCCCGTTACATGTTCGTTTTTATTGCTACATTTAGTATAAATGCAACCTTGGTCAACTATGAACTAATTATCATCAAGTTTAGTGTTATAACTAGACCAACATCAGACACCCGTTCTTAGAAATGGGGACTGACAATATGATCTCGGAAACGTTCTTTACAACATCCTATAAAGTCTTAATAGAATATAAAGGAGAGGAAGAACTCAAGAGAATATCAAAAATACAGTGATATTGTTTGTATACAGATGCCTCCTAAACAAACAATGGAAGCGAATTGGTTTTTTTTTTTGTACAAACTAGTACATGAATGCATCCAAAATCTCCAAAACTTGGAAAACAACAACCTGATGATATCTCTTAGGTACAGGACACAAAGGAATTTTGGGTAACGAAAAAGCAGACACACTGGCCAGATGAGGATATATATATATCACATATAGTTCCTGAACCTGTACTTGGGATAACAAAAACAAATACAGAATCCTCCATCACAAAATGGAACCAAATAAAACAAAAAGAGAAGTGGATAAACTACAGGGGCGCTAGGCAGGGTAAACTTATGCTAATACTACCATCACCGTAGGCAAACTCACTGCTACAAATGGAGAGGGCCAGACTTAGAGGAGTAATAGAACTTATTAATCAATCACGGGCATCTCAGAAAACATCTATATAACATGGACACAAAGATATCATTTGCAGATTATGCAATGAGGAGGAAGAAACAGCCACCCATATCATCTTCGAATGCGATGCAACGGCTCAATGGAGACAGCCTAGAATACAAATTTTTTTCGCAGCAACAGTGACATTCAATGACTTCATCCTTCTGAGATTCGATTGCATTAAACTATAAAAAAAAAAGGAAATTACAATTTTTTGCTTTGTTTACTTTTGTACAAGGGTATTTCAACTACGAGGTTATATGAATCCTCAGGGTTCCGGTGATTTTGACAAAAAGCCCAGTGACCTGAATTTAAACCTGGTACCTTTATCTTCCTGTGATGAGCACTGTATCAACCCTTTAACTGTTGCGACTACCGATGGAACAAAAAAGATTTTCCTATTTTCATCAATAACTCTCTTTTACACATATAATTTGATTGTGTAAAATCATAATTTTCAATGTGATCACTTGTTTCAGATAAAACTGTAATGGACTGAAATAAGTATGGAAAGGCGCCTAAGCACTACCTCAGAATCAAGCAATGATTCCAGACAAGTAAGTCTACATGAATTCTTCCCAACTTGCAATATCCGAGTTAAAATAAAACAATAATCACTCACAATAAAATAAACTATAATAACAACAAAACATAACATTCTTTGTCACACGATGATTTAGAAGTACGATTTTGTTACTGCTGAGCTTAGCTTGATTAGATTGAATTTTTAAAAAAATAAATAAATAAAAATAAAATAAAATTAGTATGATTTAGAAAATATCAAGCAGCAATAACAAATTAATTTAGGTCAAAAACTACATTTATTTATTTATAATTTTTTCTTTAGAGAAAATGGCAAAATGGCGGCCTATTAAATTATCGATATGTAAGTAGCATTGTTGTGACTTTTTGTTTTGCCAGGACCCAAAATTAATTTTATAGTCACCAACATTTTTTTTTAAATTATGTGTACTGCTTTATTTGTTGTAATATTGCTATTTATAACTAGTTGTATATAAGATATAATATATTTGGGGTTTTTGCTAATATGAGTAGACTGTAACAAAAATTACCATGTTTTAAAAAAATTGTGATATATACAAAAAATATCAGTTACCTTATTGGACATGGTAACCCAATTAAACTTGTGCTTTTATTATATATAATCACTTAAAGATTTCCAATAAAAATTTCTTACAATGATGCAGTGTGCACAATTTTGCTTATTCAATTAAAATTTCAAATAAATTCAATTTAAAATTTATTTGACTATATTTTTTTCAGTCATGTGACAGTGGAGATGGTGTCCAGGGACGTGTCCCTAAATCTATGTCTCCAAAAGTCGCTGTCAACCCATTACAATTTGTCAAAGTCGGACCCTGCGACCTCTATCGTTCAGCACAGGAACAGCTAAAGAAGGTCGAAGAAATCAAAAAGGTTAAAAAAGTTTGCAAAGATGAAGGCGAAGACTGGCAGTCTGTAAGTGAAACAATATTACAACATGACAAAATCATTTTGCAGTATTAATTTTACTTTATTATTTTATTTACTTCTTTCAGAATTTGGACAATTGGAAATGCAGCAGAAGAAAGCGTCAAGAACACATCATCGAAAGGGTAGTTGAAGTCAAGAAACTTGAGTTAGAGGAACATGAAAGGAATCGCAGAAAGAGTAAAACGTTTAGTGAGATGATGCAAGACCGGTAAAAATAGAAATTATTAAACAAAAATTTATTTATTTATTTTTTGTAATCAACACTTTTTGTCCAACAGTAACATCAGAGGTAGAAAAACAAGTTTACCAGTTTATCAATATGATGACACAAATGATTTGAGCGATTTGGGACTTACAAGTACTAAAACAAATAATGATAAGACTGATGGTGAAAAGGTATAAACTGATTTTATTAAAATAAATTAAATTTGGAAAATGTATTACTTATATTTTTCCAGGTTGAAAATGGGGAGGATGAACCAGTAGAAACACTCAATGACACTAAAACAGAATGCAATAACGATAAAAGAGAGAAAACACCTCCAAAATCTGACAATTGTGAACAGTACACTTATGAATGGGCAATTCAAAGTTATGTCAACTTTACTGAGAGTAGGGTCAAATCTAAATCAACACCTTCAATAAATGAAGAGCAGAAAAAATACCCTCCAATCCCAGCAAAACCAAGTATCAGATCAACAGCAAAAGTTGACAACTATTTGAAAAATGTGGAACAAAGTAACCAAAACGACTCAGCTGCAAGGCCTGCTATTGTCCCAAAAGTCAGTGTAAACAAACAGAGGGAGTTGTTTGAAAAAAAGCAGGAGAGTGAAGAATGCAATAAGCCGAACAAAACTGCTGAAGTTACAAAAAGTGCTAGCATTAAAGAGAGGTTGTCTTCACTTGAAAAACAACAGGAAAATGTTGACAACAGCAAGGATAGCAAAATAAATTTACCAAATGAGCCACTTGTTAAAAACAGATTAATGACCATAGAAGCTGTTGCAAATGGCAAACCTAGTCTTCCGAAAAAGGTAGTCGAACCAGTCACTACCATTTCTATTAAGGATCGCCTTTCCAGTTTGTCTAAAACTGAAACAAGCCCAAGTAAAAATAAAAATATTGTCGAACCAACTTTAAGCCTCAAAGACAGAATGAATAATCTGCAATCATCCATGAACAAAGAGATTCCCAAACAAGCTCTAAATATTTCTACTCCTAATGTGTCAGAAAAAATTAAAGAAACTGAGTCTTACAAAAAGGAAGAGGAAATCCATCAAAACGGCCTAGAAAGATCTTACAGCCCAGATGATATCAACAGCAAAAGACAGCAGCATTTCAGACACAGATCCCTAGACAGTTTGGATGTGGACAGTGACAACGTTGGAAGTTCTTTTGAAAGAGTCCAGAGTTTAGAAGATCTCGACTATTGTAGGAATTATCCTCCTTCGACCTTCAGTGGTGACACTGATAGAGAAGACTCTGGAATACACACTGCCGATGTGTCTAGTTCTGTGAGCCAAGCCGATGACTACGACCTCCATTTGGACAGCAACGTGCTTGATGAAATGAAAACGAACCACCAACCACCAATAGTGGAAGAGAGCAAACATTGCGAACTTCAGAAATATACATATGAAGAACAAAAACCAGTAAGTTCTCCATCTGAAGAGGAGCAGAAGGTGGGGGATGTTAATTCTCAAGACTCACTAATAAATAACACTGTCTCTCAAAGCTTTTCTTCTCTTTCTCAACTGCCTGACTCTAATCTTAACAAGGTGGAGCTTTCTTTAGACAATTCTATTAGACCTTCAGAATCAGTCGGTATTAACACTTTCGAAGAGGTTATCAAGGAACAGCCTAACAATCTAAATGACACTTCTGAAACAAAGGAAAATATTGAATTATTTGGTGATCTCACAAATGCTCAAAACATTCATCTGGAAACTATTGAGGTTAGTTGAGATACTAATAAACTTATTAAAATGTTTATAAAAATATGAAATTCGAAAAATCCAGGGAAGGTTTGTTCAAATGATAAAATAACTTTTATTTTTTTAATGTTTCTTACAATACAATCTTTCAACACTTTCTTCTGTTAGCTTTTTGAAAAAGCTTGTAAAACTTATTTTCTTCTGTAATGGTGAAATTGTCTGAAAGAATATTTTTTGCTTTACCTTTCAAACTAAGTCCTACGCTTTTATTTGTTCAAGCTTAGATTAAGTTCTCAACTTGTGCAATTCTGCATCTATATTGTTTGTTTTTTTGTTTTTTTATAATTCTAGTGTATATATTTTTTCAATAAAATCTTTAGTTTGAATATATATTTTTTATTGAAAATAATAAAATCCTAACATCGTTGTAAAAATATTCCTTTCCTTCAGGTACACAATGGAACTAGTGATTTCAAAAATCACCATTTTGAAACTGTGTCGACTGTTTCTTCACCTAGGGCCAAATGTGACAGCTTGGATAACACCAACGACAAAAGTGAAATTCCAAAAAGTTTCAGCAAAATGCCAATTAAAGAATCCAATGAACCTTTAGTTCTGAAGGAAATAATTAATCCAGTTGAAGAAAACCAGGTAATTTCATTGACACACTGACATAAGATTATGTAAAACTTTGTTTGTTTTAAATTTACCTTGTTCTAATTACAGTACAAAGGAATAATCATGGATGTCTACAGCGATACTCAGCAGGAATGCATTTTTAATTTAAATCCAGTCCATATGGAACCTCCAAAAGAAAAGCCACCTCCCCCTCCAATCGAAGCAAGCGATGATGAAGAAACATCCACTCCAAATAAGGTCTGTTTATTTATAATTTTATTTAGGTAGTGTAAATTCAGATTTTTAATTACTTATTTTTTTTAATAGGCTTCATTGAGACGGCTGGATTCGACTAAAAGGATTAAAAAAGAGATAAGACAGAAGAGATCATCATTCCTTGGAATCGAAGCAAATGAGGATGACTCATATCTTGATCCAGGTAATATTTTAAATCTGATCCATTTAAAATAAATTATAACTTTTATTATGTTAAATGGATTTGTTTAAAGACATGGTCTGAAATTTCCAAAATATACACAAAATTTATTAAAAAACCACATAGAAAAGTTAAAAAAAATAATAAAATTAATTAACTAATTAAATTGCACATTTTGACTGTTTGTTTTGGTTTTATTCAGAGTTGGAATTAGTCAGGCCACCTGATATATCAACTTTGCTGGCAGAGGAAAGAAGAATTGACAGACAGCTGTACAGGCAGTCGGTTTGTTCCGAAAGTGACTCAAACCAGGAAAGTCGTGATTCTGGAGTCGAACTAGACCACAAGCTCCCTGATACTTGGAGCAGTCACAGCAGAAATGACAGCGAGATTTACGGAAATCAGAGCACGACTTCGGAAGAGGATGAGATTATGAAGAAGGAACGCGAAATCATTGAGACCCTTGAACAAGAAGAGAAAATAAGAAAGCAAGACCTTGGTAATTGATTAACTTATAGATTTTTGCTGTATTTTACAATTAGTATTTCCAATATAATGAAAATTATTTTTTTAAAGTTTCTTACATTCTTTTAATCTTCTTTCAGGTGAAAAACTTGCAATGAGATTGAGAGAATTGGAAGTTGAGAAAGATAGAATAGATTGGGAGCATCAAAATAATGAAATTCAGAACTACCACATTCATCCATACAAAGAAGAAAATAGTGCATTGTTGAATGAAGTAAGCAATACTTACATATATATATATACTTTCACCAATATTTATCAGTTTTTAATGTGCTTATTTTTAATTTACTAGAATTTATTGATGAGAGAGAAAAATAGGCATGAAAGGCCATATCTTCAAGAGAAAATACACCCTACACCTTGTAACAAGTGGTATGATCAGAAAATGGTTGCACAAGAAGCTCCACTTCCGGTGACAAGAAGGCCAGATTACAATGACAACAAATATCACAACCATTACAGAAAATCTCTCCAAGATTTGTCCCATGCTATGCCCGGAACGCAGATGTTACCCATTAATTATGACAACGTTGCACACAGGCGTTCAATGCCTAATCTACAAGAAATGCCAGCACGGCGCCAGCCTCCTCCTCCACCAATAATACCAGAAAAGCCACATCACTTCCACACAAATATGAACAACCCAAGGTACTTTGCATTGCTGAATATATGTCAAGAGAACTTTGACCCAAAAAAATTTAAATTTTAGCGATACTGGAAGCCAGCAAATGACAAGGCAGACTTTACAAGCATTGAGTGCTGCTCCAAGGTCAAGGCTGATTAGTAACGACACCTGGCAAGCAAAGAGAAAACAGACAAAGCCAGAACACTACAATTACCAGCATTGGCTGATTCAGGTATTTCATTATTTCTGTTTAGATTTAAACGAAATTTATTGTATTATCAATTATTGTTGGAAGTCACTTCAGAAATAAGTCTGAACAAGACATCTTCCCAGGTATAATTTTTTCTATTTACCTAAAAATGGATGAATTATATTAAAAGCAAGATTTAGGAAGCATCTGCAAGCAAATCTAAAAGCATTCTTTTTAATGTTTTATATATGTGGTGGTCAGAGAAGTATAACAATATAAGTAACTACTTAAAGAAGATTGAAATAAGTTGTTTCATCCCATTATTAAATAATGTATTCTATCAATCTGTGAATCCTATCCAAGCCACCTCCAACATCAAAGAACACCTTGAGCTTACCAAAGACTGGTGCACAAAAGGAGGACAAGACTGACTGAAGAAAAATGTACTCAGTGTATGTTCTTATTGAAAAAAAAAAAAAATCTACACTTCTAGAACCATAAACCATCTTAACCATTAACATCAAACTAACCTTATACAAGACTTTACTGGGACCACTTTGGACATAACGAATGGAACTGTGGGGTTCTGCTAAGTGATCCAAAATCCAGTGCATCCCATCCTTTTAATCAAAAGTCCTCGGACAAATTGTCAAAGCTACTTACAACACATCACTAACATCATTATCCACAATGACCTCAATGATTTGTGAATGAACTTATTCATTCATTCCAAAAGTCACACCAACCTCTCGAATCATCCAAATCCTATTGCTAGAATCCTCTTTACACATTCCCATCCCAAGAATGACCACATTGCCTTACTTAATTGACAATGGCCTCGAGACCTCCTTGCCCTTTAATCCTCTCACTGAGTGCCAGTATTAGGTTGCTGGTTTCTCATGGCATGTGTCTTCTGGGTACTGGGTACTGCTGGCATTTAGCACTGTGACCATGTATCATTTGTAATAAGTACTAATATGTATTGGGTAAAAATAAATAATAAAAAAATCTGTTTGCTCCAAAGAGTGGGTGTCCTTTATAAGTCCTTTTATTATGTGTAGTATGGCCCTTATAAATTTATTGAAATCTGTGTTGATGTTGTAGGAAGCAGAACACAGGAGAATTACAGAACAGCAACAGAGACAGCAGAATTGTGTGCCAGTGCGAAACGGCTCCACACAGCATCCTTGCCGAAACCTTCAGAAATTCCCAAATGGCCAATATTATCCTGAACACCGCCCACAACCTACTATTCCTGCTCCACACCAACCATATAGCAATCAACAAAGAGTGCCACAAGGTTCAAACAAAAATAATAAACCACTTCCTGATTCTATCATTCAAACGCTTACACAAAGAGTGCAACGAATGAATTCTGACAATAACAACAACAGAAGAAGGTATTGTTGCAATTAAATTGCAGGTATTGTTCACAATTAGGTCTTTCGTCAATTACACATGTTCTTATTACATTACAGGATGGAAACATTACACTCAGAAAACCAGTACACTCCACAAAAAAATGATAACAAAGAGAAAATGTTAAGCGTCAGCGGGAAAAAGAGGTGTTCACATTGTGGAGAAGAACTTGGTACATTTTAAATATTTTATATACATAAGAGATGAATTTTTAAATTTATATTATCTTTTCTTCAGGAAGGGGAGCTGCAATGATAATCGAGAGCCTGCAACTCTTTTATCACATTGACTGCTTCAAGTGTTGCGTCTGCTGTTTACAGCTTGGTGACGGGTTGATGGGAACTGATGTTAGAGTTAGAAACAACAAACTTCATTGTCATAACTGTTACTCAAGTGACGATGGTAGGAGAAATTTTAACTCCTTTATAACTTCATAAATCTTTTAAATATAATTTTTCTTCAGGTGCCAAATTTAGCTGTGTATAGGAAAATTAGACAGTGCAAAGAAAACATCACTTGGAGTGCTGTACATAAAGGATTTTAGATTTGTTTAATAGATTTTATGGTTGTTATAGAGCATTGTATATTGTTGTTTGTATCTAATTTGTAAATGTTGTATATGTAAAACATAAAATTACACTCAGGGTAAACAATAAATGTTCAACCCTGAAAAATGGCAACACAATTACTAGAAACAATATTTTAAATATTTTTATGGTGAACATATAGTATGGACAGTTTCACTGTTTACAACACATTTTTGTTTTCCACTAACATATTAAGTTCCAATACATTAAGCATGTTACCGTTATTTTAATATAAATAAGATAAAGTTCAGCCATGGAAAATGAACCTCAAATGATTAACCAATGTATATACTGTAAGATATTTATATTTTTATGTACATTTTTCAATATGATGAAAAAATAAAATAAAAATTATACCTGTATCATAACCCTGTGTAATGAATATATAGAGGCAAATATAATTTGGTATTATCCCAAATATGTTTTATAGCCAGTGGGTGTTTTATTTAATACCTTTCAATTTCATTGATTTAATTTTAATTAAAAATCAGGAAATAATGTTGATTTTTTCTTGTCTGGCATCTCTTAAACACAGAAGGCCTTCAACTTAAGAAAATTTCCATTTTTTAATTTTTAATTATTATTTACATTTCCTTATCAATAAATTCCACTAATTAATGAAAAATTAAAAATTAAATACAAAAAATATAAAAGTATATTAATTATTAAAAAAAACCAATCAGTTTTATTGTTGGTAATATAATGTATACAATCTATAGTGATTCTACTAGTGATGACACCATAATCCAGTATTATTTCCACTGACAGGGCAGAACAATTATTATGCAATTATGCACCTTGTAATTGTAAAGTACCAGAAATTTTTTCATTTTAAATTGAACACACTTGTTCATTCATTACACACGCATATCATATGAATGCAACTGAGATTTAAGTACCCCTGACTGTATGACACCGCCAAATGAAGTTATTTCAGTAGCCCTGTGTGAATAGGGCCTATCTCCCACTTAATAAAATAAAATAAGGAGAACATGCTAACCAGAACATCTACATTATTTTATTCTAGAGAAGTTTGCACCATACAAGCCATGTGTGAAAAAATGTTTAAGTATTTTGTTCTAACAGGAAAGTTGTGTTTTGTTCTACAGGAATAACATCAACTGCTCTTTTTTATTTTTAAAAGATAGTAGAATGGGTACTATACCTTTCATGCGCTCAGGGTTATCTCCCACAATGAGGTAGAATGGGGTAATAAGTGAAAAATTCTTAATTGAATAAATGATTCAGTTTAAGGGATGACACCCAGGCTTCCAATCGAGGTACGAATGGTGTACCATGCATCTTTAATTCTCAATTTTTACTTTCCACCATCACAAAGCTTATGGGGGTGAACCCTGTTAACCAAACAGACGGAAAGATGGGTACAGAGGAATAGGAAGCTGGACAGGTCACCTCCGAAACACTACACACCACACCTTATTCCTCTTCGTACCCCAATCCTAATCCTAATCTCACAATCCAGCCCCAATCTAAAGTGTTATGCGACCCGTGCAAATGGATGGATGGTTCAGCGACCTCAAAAACCAACTTATGGAAATTGAAGAGGGCTCCGAACCCTCTACTACTCTTATAAACCGAGAATTGGAGGAAAATCTCCTCGTTTCACCTTCTGCAGAAGTAGGGACCTTCAGGAAAAAAAAGAACTGAAGACGAAACCATTCGAATGGAGGTGACAGAGAAGATTGAAACACTTCCAACTCAAGAAAATCTCAGGGGCTCATGGGCATAAAATGACAAACAAATGAACCAAACAAAAGGAGGAGTGCGAATCCTGACAATAATCAGGAAAGGGAAACAAAGCCCTAAAGCCGGGAACACACTTACCCGATGCTAATCGACGCCTTGCCACAGTTTGGTAGGGTGTGCACAACTGCTCGACGCAAGTACATGCGGCATACAGTCACACAGTGTGTATCACAATAAAGTGTATCAAGCTCGCAACGCCTCTTTTGTTCTTAATGCACTATTTTGAGTAAACCTTGTATTAAATTGTCAGTTAAATTTTATGAGCACAACCATCTAATAAATTGTTTGTTAAACTTAATTTTTTTAAATAAAGCTATTCCTAACCATCATAATTAAATAATGCTTATAAAAACTTATGATTTTTTTATCTCGTTTAATTTCGTTTACATTAAAATAACATGTTGTTTAATATTTTCTTTGTGATCAGCCTTCTCAGTTTAAATATATTTTTATTTACAAAAGGTAGATTGGGGATGAGGCCAGGAAGACTGAAACAACATTTATTTTCTTGTCGAGCTTTCGGCAGAATATATCGCCTTCATCAAGACTTCGAAAAAATCGTTATACTATATGAACAGGTACATGTGTGGATAATGGATCCGTTACTTAGTTTGAAATAAACTACAAAAAATATGAGTACGGTTCTGACGCTACCCGACAAAAATGGTGTAATTTTACGAGCAAAACCATGAAATAAATTGCTAGTTAAATTTTATGAGCAAAACATGAGCAAAACGGTGTAATAAATTGTTAGTTAAATTCATTATATCAAAAAATGATATTCTGGTGTTTTGACTGATTTTCTACTAAACCATTATTATTATTTTTTTTTTAAATAAAAACTAACGAATTTTTGATCTCGGTTAATTTGGTTTATATTAAAATAAGTTTGTTGTAATTAATATAACGGCAATAATACATGTAGTTTGAATAAAAATATGAGTGTCTGGTTCTTTTGTCTTTGACTGTACTCGATGCAACCCGACGAAAATCTGGACAATGGGGATCGCAGAGCGTGAGTAGGGTAGCGTGGATGTTGGCAATTTGGCATACTGCATAGTGCATAGCAATAATCACATCTCAGTAGTGTGCACGGGGGTAATAGAACCTTATGGAAAATCGAGTTTTGATTTGCGTCGGGTAACATCGGGTAAGTGGGTTCCCGGCTTAATATTCACTTTCGGACTCCGGCACCAAGACCAACCACTGGAAGCATTAACCCCAAAAAACGAGGGTCGACGCCAACCAAAAGTGGTAAATGACAGGTCACTGGGTCAGGGGGGATGGATCGGGTGACAGAGGAGGCCAACAGATCGGGCCATAAGGTCCTATCCACCAATACCGGAAGTGACGATTCAAATGTCTCACCTGCAAATAATTGTGTGCGGGCATTCATCAAGCTAGAGAATCATTCTTTGTCGTTTCAGAGAAACATCGTATAATAGTCTCCCTCAAAAAAATTAAGGAACTGAGCACCATTTAAAATATTTTCTTAGAAATAAGGCCCAATTAATTTATTTCCGAGAAGTCCACACGAAACGTTGATACTGCTAACCAACTGATGACAAGAGTACGAAATTCTCGGATTATCCTCAGCACACGTTCGAAAATTCCAACGGTTTAGTATGCCATTAGAAGTGAACTTGGATACATAAGCCCATAAGGACGTTTGGAAGTACGTTTTCTTCAGTCAACCAAATCGACTATTTGCCAGGAACGTTCAATCAATCAGACTTCAAAGTCCCGAAGTCCCTGGACAAGATAAGTGCGATAAATTGTAAGTCCGCAATACATCATTTTGTCTTTTGAAAAACCTAAATCCCTTCCAAAATTTCGGAGAGAGGAATTCGGATTTTCGCGAAATTACAGTAAAATATACAGCTCAGACAGAAAAGAACAGAATTGTTTGTGAATTGTTTTACAGTTTTTGAAAGCTATTTTAAAGTTATCAGAAGAGAGAAATGTGTTTAATTTATGTGATAGGCCGTGAATGAATGGAAATGTATGTTGCTTTGTCTGTATTTGATAGATTTGACGTATTATTAGTAATAGCAGATGGTGTTAGACTGTTAGTGTTGAGTTGTAGTTGTTGATTATGTGTTTAGGGTAGTGATTGTTATGTAGGATATATTGGTATATCTTTATGTCCATGAATCTTTTCTCCACAGGAACATAAAGAAATTTCACTTGCACTATTTCGGTTTCGAATACAAATTAAAACAAAAAAGTTTAATGAATTCATTCAAAATTTCCTTCAGTTTTTTTTCCACCTTACCAATCCTTCAACCACGTTTTTTCTTTTCCTTCATCAATTTCTTCATCTTGGAAAAAAGTAATTAAAAAAGCAATTGCACCACTAAATAGGATATTAAATGGGTACGTTTTCTGAAATTTGTTGGTCTCTAGGTTTGAAAATAGTAATTTAGAATCACCATATAGTATGTTATTCAACTTCGGAAAAAAAATTGTCAAAGTTCTCGCTACTAAAACGCTTATTTCACTAACGTTTACAAGATTAATATCGATCAATCTTATTGGAAATTTAACGTACTTTTCAATAGTATCAACGGATTTGTCCAAAACCTTTTAGTTTTGGAGCTATCATTGTTTATTTGAAGCAAGGTCGTGAAATCTTAAAACATCAGAAAAAGTGAAATAACTCCGCAACTGTTGAGATTCCGACCATAGTTTTTTGGACCATAGTACTTTTTGGTTCCATTTTGGATGTAGAATCTACTGGCAAAGTTTGTAACACGAGTAGCCGAACACCTTGCATAGAAAACCCAAAACTAAGGCTCCATGATTCCAGCAGATTCTTCTCACCCATGGACCCAAAAAGCTGCTGGTTTCATTTGACTCATAGACCGTATATTGACCGTTAACACCTGCTAATTATAAAAAAGAATTACAAGCAATTAAAACTTTAGTTAAAAACAATGGATGTTAAGAAATATTTATTGATAGGGCGCTAGTGAAAAGAATAAATAAATTAGCTTTAAAAGAAGAAACAATTGTACTCATATCAGCCACCCCATCAAAAATGAATCATTAGATTTTCGGCGCCATGTTGTACTTTAATGGTTAGGGATGGTACTGGTACTTAAATACAAGTATACTGGTTTGGATCGTTTATTATTGCAAAATAAATAGCACTTGAAGTGTATACTTACGGTTGATCGATGATTGCAGTTGATTCTCTAATGTGTACTCTGAGTTCGGCTAATTCACAAATATCGCGCACTTCGAACTTTTGAAGAAGACACGAAAACCGTTAGCCGAGCAACGCGCGCACCGGAGTTGGACAAATAACCGACCACCCGCCTCCACCAATCGGCATTCGGCAAATCACGCCACTTCTCAAAACCTTAAGACAAGGTTGACAACTTGTCACAAAGCGGGGTTTGCCAACTTAATTGTAATGATTGTTATATTAAATATTAGGACGAAACGTCAGAGAAATTAAAACGAAAGTTAAAGTACCCTTGCCTAAATCGAACAAATTTTCTGAAGTATCATATAAATGAATTAAAACACAATTTAAATTTAAATACAACAGTGTTACACAGTTTCAACAAAGGTAACTTGATTGGTTTGAGAAATTTGAAATTAAAAAAATGTAAAATTAAACCTGGAGAAAAATGCAAAAATAATATAAAGGATTTTACCTCTTATTTTAAGCACGTACCTAAATAATATTTGACATACAAATTAATCACTAATTTAAAATTATTTTTATTCATATTTAGTTCGCATGTTCAAAATTGAGCGGCATTAAAACCAGCTTCTCATTGGAACGTCGCGTCGGCGGTGTATCGGCGGCTTGATATTCATGTCAAGAGGCATGCTTGTAACTCGTTCGACCTGTTGATGGGCTTTAAGCATGAAAACCGAAAACAACAAACTGTGAGTAGGAACTATCATTTCTATTATAAATCAACAGCTCGTGTGAAAAGTTCTTATCAAAACCTAAAACTATTAAATATCAACAACAAGCAAACTATTAACATAAATTTTGTGCAGCATTATTCTTAATTTCAATGTAGTCCGGTGGTGTGATCTTTGGCAAACAGGTGTACAACTTGCTAGAGTAAAAATGCGAAAATGGTGCAAAGAGAATTTTTAAAAAGATTTGTCTCAAACTTTGTACATTTGTTGAACTGCACTGCAGGAACTGATTGCTTGTTCACTTCCAAATTATCGATTTTTTAACATTTTTCTTTCTTGAGTTTTTCAATATTCACTCTTTCTTTTTTTTTCTAACCCCGAGACCAAGATAGTCTTCCCGCATCACACCTCCACTGAACCCACTTTTCCTTAATTTTGTTTCGTACTCCTTCAATAATTTATTCGCTTGTTTTTGTTTCTGTGTGTCTCTTTATATTTGCAATATCCCTTACAGTTTCCTTGCATTACCCCTTCATTTAGTTGATTGGAAGCTAATTTTATTTAAATATTGTGGTATATTATTACACCAGTTTGCATCTTGAAGTTGTTGCTAAAATCTAAAGAGAGTTCACAACTTTCTGTAAATAAATTTGGAACGCGGCTGGTACAAAAATATTTATATGTACTATACTGCATGCCAAACTGGGCTGGTCATTTCCTTCGTCTTTCATGATAGTGGTTATTTAGAGATCGTGAGATGAGAATAATCATCAATTAACAGTCCTAAATACCATACATTTCATGATGGTTTTCTTCCAATCAAATATTTTCCTCCTCCCTGATAGTTACTACTAGAAATATTGTACACTTGTGATTGAATAGACATTGTCGTTAATTTTTAATTGAAATGTTCTTCCGTTTTGCTGCATGTGGCCATTCACTGACAAGCAAAAAATTCCACCCTAATATAACTTGATTTTTATATATTAAAGTTTCACGTTTTTTTAACATTTAAACCCTAACCTTCCCTAACCATTTAATAAAAGACGCACACATAAAATTTGTTTTAGATTTTTAAATAACATTTCAATATCGCGTATTTCCTCCTCTTGCCTTAATTACATCTCGAAGACACTTTGGCATACGTTCTAACAATCTGGAAATGGCTCTTTGCTGGAGGTTGTCTCGGAGGAACCCATTCAACACGAAGAGTACTTTCAAGATCGTGTAGTATCAGGAAGTGATGGACGTGCTCTTATTCGACTTTAGAGGATATCCCATAAATGTTCGATGGGGTTCAAGTCTGGAGAATGGGCTGGCCAGGCTAAGACCCTGATGTTATGCTGTTGAAGTTGTTTCTACTATGTGAGTGACATGTAGAAGGGCATTATCGTGCATGAAAATAGGATTGTCGCTTATTTCATCGAAGATAGGCAACACATGATGTTACAAAATTTCATTGACATAGTAAGTGGCTGTCAAAGACCCCCACGAACAACCAACTCTATGCAAATCCCCATTGAAATTCCCACCCACACCATCACTGAGCTATGTTGACAAGGTTAGCTCTGGCAAAAATTACAGGCTTTGTACCTTTCATTTTGCCTTCTCCACACTCTTTCATGCCCATCTGGAGATCGTAGAGCAAATCTACACTCATCTGTTAAAAGTACAGAAGACCAATCGTTCAAAGACCAATGGCTTTATTCTCGAGCAAATGCGAGCCATTCTACTCTGTCTGGTCTGGTCAATTCTGGTACTCTGGTCAGTAGGGCAAAATGCCATACTGATTTAATCTTCTTCGAGCAGTGCGTTCAGAAATTTGGACACCTCAAACTTCCTGGAGTTGATGAACCGCTTGATCAACAGTAAGGTGCCGGTTTCGGAAAATTCTCAAAGTCAAAAAAACGGTTGTGTGGTTCTGTTACCCTAGGGCATCCAGAACCGAACCTTTTATGGTAGGAGCCAGATTCTCAAAAACATGTAATGGTGTCTCATAGAGTTTTGTAGGGAACACCAATGGTAATAGCCCCATACCATTGTTATTAATAAGTGCCACAGCATGCACAACAACCTCAGTAGCACTAAGTGGCATTTTTAGGTTTAAAAATTGAAATTAAGAAAACAATGGTGAAAACTAAACAGTTTATTGCTTCAGAATTCAAATGAGACTGAATAAACATTTTAAATTCGGTAAAAAGTAAACATTAAAAAATCCTTTATCCTTGTTTAGGATTGAGGATTAAGTGTGTTTACCTCTAATTCATATTCCCAATTTAAAACATAGCATAAGCAAATATTTATAGTTAAAAACAATGCGAAAATTAAGGGCAAAATTTTCTTTTATCGAGAAAATAAAAAAATTCTATTGTTTAGAATTTTTTGCCTGCCAGTGTATATGATTTTTCTTCTATATCTCCTAGCCCAGCCACTCTACCTTTTATTAGCCAGGGTTCCTGGATTAGGGCTACTCCAATGTTTTTCTCCTTGGCCCCCATGACAAAGCATAAGTATTGCTGTTTTACTGAGCTACAGAGGTTTGCTTGAATCTTACTGCTTTTTTGATGATCCTTACAGTTGTCATTGCGCAGCCTAGGTAAAGTTTTATGTTGGCTTTGCTTAGAGCCCTAAAGGATACATCATCTATTTCTACCAAAAGTGTTAATTCTTTGCTTTCTACTCTCTGGCTGACGACTAGGATGGTTCTGCCCTGATCGGCTGTTAACTCTTTTTCTGGGTATTCCTCCAACACCATGCCATTTTTAGTGCTTTGAGGGCTTGCTGACGTATATCATTGCCTTCCCATCCAATTAAGTGGGGGATGATTTGTTCTACATCACTTTCCTTAATTTTGCTTTTATGGGACATTTCCTAGGAGCACTTCCTCTTGATGGTGGGGTACTACCCCGTGACCTGATTTACCACTTTTGGTTGGCGTTGGCCCTGGTTTTTTGGGGTTAATGCTTCCAGTGGTTGGCCTCAGTGCATAGTCCAGAAGTGAACATTAAGGTTTTGTTTCCCTTTTCTGATTCTTTTCAGGATTGGCTCCCTCTTTTGTTTGACTAGTTTGATTGCAATTTTATGCCTCAAAGCACTTGACATTTTCTTGTATTTGAGAAGTAGTTTTTCAATCTTCTCCATCTCCTCCATTTGAGTGGTTTTGTCTTCTGATTCAGTTTTTTCCTGAAGTTCCCCACATCTACAGAAGGTGAAGAGGAGATTGTCCTCCAATTCTTGGTTTATGAGAGTTGCAGAGGGTTTGTAGCCCTCATCAACTTTCATAAGTTGGTTTTTGAGGTCTTCCTTTGCAAGTTCCCTAGTGTTTTTTTTTGTTTTCTTTTGGTCTTGTCTATGTGATTCTCACGAGTATGAGGGATCTAAAGGTCTGCACCAGAGGAGCCCTCTTCTCTCGTACCCTTGAGGCTTCATTATTGATACAGCTACCCCTCTACCATCCATCCATCCGCCTGGGTCGCATGACACCTTAGATTGTGGGGGCTGGATTGTGAGATTAGGATTGGGATTGCGGTAGGAAGAGGGGAAAGGTGTGGTGTGTAAGGTTTTGGAGGTGACAGGTCCAGGTCCTGTTTCAGTTTGGTTAACAGAGTACATCCCATAAGCTTCATGAAGATGGAAAGTCGAGTTGAGTATTAGGCTATTAAAGGTGTATAGTACCCATTTGTATCCCGATTTGAAGCCTGGTGTCACCCCTTATTCAATTAAACACTTTTTCACTTCTTACCCATTCTACCTCATTGTAGGAGATCACCCTGAGTACAGGAGATTTGTACCTGATTGTATTTGATATTATGCAGGTTGTATAAACACTACAAATTGCCTACATTGTAGGTAAATTTAAAGTACTCTTTGTGGGGGTGAATATTCCACAAAAGGTTTTTTAATTCTTCTGGCTTGTATTTAAAAAAAAAAAATTAAATTAAATTAAAAAACAGAAAGTTTTCTGAAATTTGAATTTATTTATGACAGGCTAATTCAAAAATGGAAGAAGTAAATTATAAAATCTCAAGTTTAATAGCAATAAAAGTACCATGTGCTAACAAATTAACAATTGTAATGATTTGATAAGTTTATTAGTCAATTAAATGCACATTTTAAATCTTAATAGAAATTATGAAAGTTTTAAATCTTAGTCTAATTCCAAATCTTCTTCTGTTCCTTTTGATGTATCACTGCCACTGTCATCAGTTTTAGAATTCTTTATGACCGGCTTTGTTGTGCCATGACATTTAGAAATAAACTTGAGCTCTTTCTTGAACTCGTCTATGAATGAAATCTGTAAAAAAAATTCATAACAACACTGAAAATTTACTTTTACTTTTAATTTTAATATTAATTTACCTTGTCATCACGGCTGATTATGTCCCAAGAGAGCTCAGCCAATGCAAAGAATATTGAAAGTATGCAACCGGCGAGAAGTACTAAAAATACTCCACCGACATTAGCCAAGCCTAGCTCACTAGCTGCACCCCCTTCTGATTTCACCTAAATTATAAAAACAAATTAATAAATAGCTTTAACAATTGTAGAACAATTGTTTTAATAATACATACTGCACAAGCACCACCTCCTCGCTTTTCTCTCCACCATTTGTTCTTTAGTTGTGTTAATTTTCCCTTTTCCTGAAGTTTCACTACATTTCTACTGAGTACATTTCTGTACGAAGAGTCTGTAAAGTTTTGTTTTTACTTCCTCTATTAGAACCTTTTTTTTTTTTTAAATAAGTAAAAGAAACTTACTTTGTCTCATCACAATCCCATATCCTTTATTGTCAAGAAGCCCTCCTATTTGGTGAAGTTCACATTTTCTTTCAACTTCATATTCTATACTTGTCGATTCCATAAGAAACGCATAATCATCATTTTCCATCACCCTTCTCACCCCAGCCTCATTTGTCGGCATCATCACATCGCTATTTGACTCCATGTATTTCCACATTTGCTGGTACAAGGTCAAATTCGAATCCTGATATAAACACAGTTTCTTATTATATTTGATGCAATATATTAAAAATTGACTCACTCTAAAAAAGTTGGCAGTTGCTCCTCCTGCTTTTGCTCCATATTTGATGGTCTTTTGATTAGCAAGACCATCAACATTAAGAAAAGGAGATACAGTAACTTCTACAGTGAGAAACGCAGCTAGGTTGGCCGTGTATGATGAGACCATTATAAGCGTGAAAAACCACCAAATTGCTGCTACCATTCTTGTCGAAACTGCTCTTTAAAACAAAAATCTTTAATTGATTGCTTAGCTCAATAACTATTATTATGATTAATAACTCTTACATTGGTGCAAGATCAGAACCTTGTTGCATAAGAGAACCAATTGTAAACCAGTAGGAGTTTAGCAATGTGAATTGATTTTCAAGCTCTTTTGGGTCTTCGATACAAGGATATTTATTTGTCCATTCATAAGGACTTACCCTTAAATTAAAATAAAATTATAAAACTTGAAATTTTGTACATGAATAAAATACTAAAAAGATACCTTCCTATAACAAATAGCAACAAGGACACACCAAAATATGCCGAGAGCATGTAAGCCCACACTTCAGCACTGAATGGAGAAAGGAAAGAAAATGTACTAGGTGGTGCTTTCTTTGGTTTTTTGTAAAGAATACTGATTCCTAAAGAAATAAAACATTAATAAAATAATGAATAATTTTACAATTAAGCTTACCTAAATTCATAAATGGCATTGTAAAATCCGCATCACGCTCTCTTTCCCTAGTGATCGTGATATCTGCTATGGCAAGATCTGCTCTCTTAAAAATTGTATAACATCGTTTTCTTTAATATAGTCAGAAAAATATATTATAAAATAAACAAATAATATTTGTAAAACATACCCCATCCAATACATCACCAATCATACCAGTCCATTTTCCTGATTTCAGAGGATTTCCACTGCTTTTGTCCTCTCTGACAACAAACGTGTAATTAAATCCACTCATCAAAGACAACTCGTGTATAAGGTCAATTCCAAACCCTTCAAAACGATCATTGCCTGATAACGGTTTGCTGGCTTCTTTCAGCATCCCATAAGGGTGTGTCTAAAATGATGTTGTAAATTTTACATATTTTCATAAAAAATTAAAATTTAAATACCAAAGCTATCAGGACAATAAAAGTTGTGTTTCTTAAATCTTCGCCAACATCCGTTTGCCCATTTTTACCCTCGGGATAATGCACGTTGAGCCCAGTTGTTGTATTCCATATTCCTTTAGCAATTAGGCCTTCTTCTGTCAGTTCAATGATTTCCAGTTCAATGTCTGTTCTAAAACCTTGATAGTCGAATTTAATGAGACCGCTCAAACCTTCGTATTCACTCTGAAAACAATGCCAAGCTGTTAGATTTTAACACTATTTTTACATACAAGAACAGACCATCTTCATGTAGTTTCTAACGCTATACCCATGCTCCCATGCCCTGCTCTGATCACAATCAATTGATCTTGGTGAAACCTGCATACCTAAGTTTTCAATAGCTTTTGCAAATAGCTGCACACCATCATGAATCAAAGCTGTTTGTGTCTAAAAAAAAAAAAATAATGAGGGATTAGATTGAAATTGATTCATAAAATGTTGCTACCATCGGGATTTTTATTGGTTCTTCTGGAGTTTCTTCTTCTGGTTGATTGTCTCCATCTTCATCAGCTTCTTTAGCTTCCCCTTCTAACTGATCTTCTTCATTTGCAATTTCTGGATCAGAAATATCACCATAACCAGTGTTCTGGAAACGTTTTCTACGCATGTGCTGATCCTAAATAAAACAAATAGGCTTATATATATTTTAACCCTCAGTATTTTTCGATTACATCAAGCATGTCATAATTATCTCCTTCTTCTTCATCTGTTCCATCTCCATTTTCTTCAGAAAACCAAGGAGCGACGACTTTTTTGAAATAATCAGTCGTAGGTTTAACAATACGAATTCCAGTCATGTTAGTGCCAGACCATTTAAAAGGCTCGAGATCGATGTATTGAAAATCCTAAAAATTATTATAAATTTTATTTTTTACTTTGTTTAAAACAAAGAAATACAAACCAGAGATGTTATAATATAATTGTATTCTGATCCAACAAGTCCGACTTGCTGTGACTGAAGCAACACTTCATACAAAATGTCAACTGAGCACTGGAAAACAATATTCTTCTCTCCTGAGTGTTTTATTCCTTGTAGTATCTTCCTGTGGGGATTTTTACATATTATTCAACTACATTTCATTCAAAATTTAATATTTATAACAATTCTTATTAAGAATGCATGCATAATTTAATTACCTGAAGTTTCCATCTTCGCCTTCGAGCTGCCTAACGGTTACAACAAACCCTTTGTCATCTGCCATTTTCAAAAGGTTTCCAATTTTTTTTAGACTGTAAAAATCATCATATACAACTGTGAAACCCTTCCAGTTCCATGCTCGTACTATATCTTCTATTGCCTGTGAAATAGAATTTAAATTATTTAAAGAGGCAAATAAATCTGCACTGTGAGGGCAAAACTGGATGTCACAAACCCTAACTTTTTTAAGATTGTGACTTTAAGGTTTGACCCACTGTGGTTAAATTCAGTTTTTCAAGTAACTTTTATTTATTGTGCTTACGTTTCATCAAATTAAAATTCTTACAATAAAAAATTATACTCAGTCTGTCGGCCTAAAGACTTACTGGAATATGCACTTATTGAAGTAAGTCAATAAAAATTATGGTTTTTCACTTTCCAATTTATTTTTAAAATCTTGGGTTAGTGATGGGTTATGTTAGGTGTAGGTGTAGGGACAGCTTGACTCATGTTAGGGATGGGTTAAGTTAGGGTTAGAATCAGGTTAGAGTTAGGTCTATTAGGTTCTGTCCTATATATTGTAGTGAGTCAATAAAAATGAAAGTTTTCCGCTTTCAAATTTATTTTTAAAATCTGAGGATTAGTAATGGGTTATGTTAGGCTTAGGTTTAGGTTTAGAAATGGCTTGGTTAAGGTTAGGAACGGGTTAGGTGCAATTCAATATATTGAGTGTACTAATAAAAATAACTGTTTTTCACTTTCTGATTTATTTTTAAAATCTTAGAGTTAGTGGTGATGGGCTATGTTGTAATGTTCTTAGGTTAGAGTCAGGGACAAGTGACATTAAGATTAAGTTACATATCCTAGATTTTATTTTGAAATGAAGTTAGTATGCGAGTGTTCTTTAATATGGGTTTTATCATAAATTATTATTGTTTAATAAACATTTCTGATTACATCAGCACACTCATTAGACTAGCCTTTTGTACAAAAGGTAAAAGAGGTATATTGTAAAGAGAAAAAAAATAAACATTAAAAGTTGTTTCACAAAACATATTTGGCCAACACACGAAAGCACACTGAACTACTTTAAATAACACTTATTAAGTCAATACCAGTAATAATAACATTGGAACACATAAAAAAATTAGAAATTGATAAAAGGCTATTTTTCTTGGCTCACCCATATATGTTGCCCAAATTTGACTTATCCTGTTTTGCTCATGGAGGCAGAAATATAACAAATGAGGAAAATATATTTAAAACCGATAAAAGTTTTGATTTTTTTGTAAATATTAGTTGTCTTTACGCACACTAAATGAAAACTAATAATTCAATTAATAAAAATTCACAAAAAAAGGTATGATAATGAAATTCTGCCTGTTATTAAAACTTTTATTTGTCTCTGCTGTAGACTTATTTTGGCAAATTTTCAATCCATCGAACTGTTTGTACAGTTTACAAATTAAATATATATATAAAATGAATATAAATCACATAAAAAGGAGTGTAAAAGGAGATTAAAAACAAACAAGTTTTTCATAACCTGTGCTAGAACTTCTGGATGTGGATAGAGATTGAGTAAACAAGAACCAGGACTCTTCTGTGGATCCCACCTATTTGATGCGATGTGAGGCATCTCTTTGTTATCGCACTGGGACTGCACATGATTCCATGTATAAGGTGACTGTGGACCAAATATCGCTGCAACTCCCTCAGCCATCAATTTGCAAACTACACGATGTGTTAAACATTGAAAAGCAATGGATTATATGTATTCGTACCTTCGCCTCCAACTTGATAACTGTCATACAGATCCACTTCACTCAAAATGGGCTCAAAACGAGGTGATGTAGGAGCTTTATCTAAATTGACCATTTCAATGGCATGATTAAATGCTTTTATGCTAGCTATGTCATCTTTCTCAAACAATGCTCCTGTTTAAAAGTAATTACACATATAACTTACACATATAATCAATATGGCTAGAGTTATTGTGCACGATATTTACCCACTTTAATAACAGGCTCTGGATCTGTGTTGTAAGGGTCTAAGTAGTCATCTTGGCAGTTGACAATCGTTAGTATAATGGAGCTAATTATCAAGCTTGATTTCACCATTGTCTTGTAATGATAGAAGGGAACATCTACATGCTCGAAAACATGGATCTTTTCTGCTATTAGCGAGAAGCCAGTGCTATTCTCAGCTGCTGGCAGACAGCCCAGACACAGGACTTTTGAGAACCGTTGACATTCAGTTATCCACAATAAAATTAATGGTTGAAACTTAATATGACAACAGACTATTATATTTTTAGTTATTCACGATTGTTTATTTTCACTGCCAAAAATTATTGTAAAAATAATGTTGTTAATAATTTTACAAAATTAAATGAGCGTAACATCAATTATTTATATAAAGATTGTGAAATTATCTAATATATTTTCTAAGGTCCTATAAAATTTAATTTTAATTTAATATGAAATTAAATTAAATTTTAATAATAAACCATAAAGAATTTTGTAAGCTTCAATTTTCAATACAGTGTATGGATATAATGACACATTTCTACTGTGAGAACCGTTGGTTCAACAGAGCTTACCAACTTTAAACTAAAGTTTGATCCAGGCAAACTTTTGCCATTCAGCTCAAGACTCCTGTCACTATTGAATATTCTTTCTATATATGATAAGTAAAGTAAACTAATTCCTATCATACAGGAGGGGTTAACATCCATCTACCCATTATGTGTCATAGATGAAGGGTCAAACCACTTTACAGTATATTTTTCTTCCTATAATCCATTAAAAAAACCATGGGCTCTGTCGGGATTCGAACCCCTAACTGCTAGCATGGAAATACAGTAATCGCTTGGTTCCTTAGTCCCCTCTTTCTATACATGGTTCAATCTGTCCTAGTTTTCTTCCTAATTCTCCAATATGCAATTTGCAATAATAACGCCAGCAATTTTCATTTCTTTGACAATAGAACACTTTTTCTCAAATCTGCATTTTTATGCATGACAAATCAGTGATTTCAAAGGCAGTAATGCTTATTATAAAATTCTAAAACTTTTAGTTAACAGATTCATTACAGTTACCATTAATGCCAGTAATTTTCATTCCAAAGACATGCATGTTTGCTAATCTAAGGCAAAATGCAAGTCTTAATTTTGCATCTGGCAATTTATTTATTTAATTGAATAAATTAATTTTTTTAAAATAAAAACTCATCTTTATATTTCAATTGTTTTATTAAACAAAATATTATTAAATATTGACATAAATAAATTCTATTTAGCTTCTAATATTAGGAAATTTTAATAATATTATTTAGCATTATTATTTTTGAAATATACTAAAACATATTATTACTCTTAAGCAAAACAAATATAATTGGAAAGCAATTTGAAATTCAAAACAACTTAAGGTAGTTTAAGTTATTCAAAGGAATTACATTTGGCATAGATATTAAATCAATTAGTACTACACAAAATAGCATAATTTACAAACATAAGTGAATTAATAGAAAAAACAAAACCATCTGTTTTAATCAATCTAATGTTAAGTCTTCATCAGTTCCTTTTGTGAATTCACTCCCGCTGTCAGTTTTCTCTTGGACTTTTCTCACTGGTTTTGATGTGCCGTGACATCTTGAAATGAATTTCAACTCGGCCATAAATTCTTCTTTGAATGAATTCTACAAAATTTATCACATTCAGGTAAATTCAGTGTAAATCATTAATTTGAACACACCTTGTCATCACGATTTAGTATGTCCCATGACAGTTCTGCTAAAGCTATGAATATGGCTAAAATACAGCCACCAAGCAGTACCAAAAAAACACCACCCACATTTGCAAGGCCTAATTCACTCGCTGCTCCTACTTCAGATTTCACCTACAATAATTATTTGATTTAGTTTTAGTAAAAAATCATAAAATAGAGGACAGTTACCGCACAAGCACCACCTCCTCGTTTTTCTTTCCACCATTTGTTTTTTAACTGGGTCAGCTTTCCTTTCTCCTGTAACTTCACCACATTTCTGCTTAGCACATTGTAATATGAAGAATCTGAAACGTTTTGTTTTTTTAGCTGTGTATTTATTGAAATGAGTAGGCCTTTTTCAAATCGTACTTCTCCTCATAGCAATTCCATATCCTTTATTATCAAGAAGACCTCCAATTTGATGTAATTCACATTTCCTTTCCACTTCATATTCAATGCTTGTTGATTCCATGAGAAAAGCATAATCATCATTTTCCATCACCCTCTTCACCCCAGCATCATTTGTTGGCATCATGACACCAGTAGTAGTTTCCATATAATGTCTCATTTGTTGGTAAAGTGTTAAATTAGAATCCTGAAAAAATAGTGTTTATTATAGTTTATTTTTAAATGAAAAATTTATAATTACTCTGAAGAAATTAGCAGTAGCTCCTCCATTTTTTGCTCCATATTTTATGCTCTTTTGGTTAGCCAGACCTTCTACGTTGAGAAAAGGTGATACAGTAACTTCTACTGTTAAAAAAGCTGCCAAGTTAGCTGTATAAGATGAAACCATGATGAGCGTGAAAAACCACCAAATTGCAGCGACCATTCTTGTTGAAACCGCTCTTTAAAACCATTTCTTCAGTAGACAATAAAATTTAAAAATGAAAAAAAAGTTTTTTTTTTACATTGGTGCAACATCAGAGCCTTGCTGCATAAGTGATCCTATTGTGAACCAGTATGAGTTGAACAGAGAAAACTGATTTTCCAATTCCTTAGGTTCTTCAATGCAAGGATAGGGATTTGTCCATTCATACGGACTTATTCTAAAATACAAAAACAATCATTTTTGACTGCGAGCCAGAGATAATGTGCTGAATTGGTGTAGCGTTTACCTGCCAATAATGAACAACAAGAGGGACACACCAAAATACGCAGACATCATGTATGCCCAGACTTCAGTGCTGAAAGGCGATAGAAACGAAAAGGTGCTAGGAGGTGCTTTTTTAGGCTTTTTATAGAGAATACTAATGCCTAGAAATATTGAATAAATAAAAAGAAACTATTTAAAAAATATTCCAGCCCTTAAAAACAAACTGTTATAAATTTGTTACGTATTTACTTAGACGTTACTTAGACCAGTTACTCAACTGGTACTAATGACAATAGTATTTAACAAATGATTAAAACTTGGCATTCTTTTTTTATACTATTCTGACTGTTAAACATTAAACTAATAATAATTCAACTTAATGACATTACAGTAAATTACTTATTATTATTACAATTGACTTTCACACCAAATAATTGTCACTCCCCAATGTGCTGACCCTAGGGTCTATACATAATGGTGTTCACCCACCCCGTTATGTGGCTGGGTTACTAGTATCTCCCTTAAGTCAGACGAGATCATCGCTTCCCAACCAACGGAGTTAGGCTCCAACAGGCTGATCACATATTACTTGTTAAATGTGAGTTTCAAAACAAAGAAAAATCTATAGCATTTCTCTGATTAACTAAGCACAAATATTTACAGTTATATTAGAAGCCTGCCTTATATATATATTTATCTAACTTCTTGTCATATTTAAAAAAATATATAACTAAAAATTAAAGGGGTGTATGGTATAACTCATTAAAAAAATTTGTTATTAATATTTTCAATTTAAATAACTTACAAAGAGGAGTTTTATTGAACATTTTGATATATAAATATAATTCTTACATAGGAAAAATTACCTAGGTTCATAAAGGGCATTGTAAAGTCGACGTCTTGTTCTCTTTCTCTTGTAATCGTGATATCTGCAATTGCCAGATCAGCCCTCTGAAAAATTAATTGTTTAATTAATTTGGAAACAATATATTTTACTGAAACATACCCGATCGAGAACATCACCAATCATCCCGGTCCACTTTCCACCTCCCAAAGGATTTCCGCTGGTTTTATCATCCCTCACGACAAATGTATAATTGAAACCGCTCATCAACGACAGTTCATGGATTAGGTCAATGCCGAAACCTTCAAAACGATCATTCCCAGACAATGTTTTGCTTGCCTCTTTCAACATACCATAAGGATGTGTCTAAACATATAAAGCAGAAATTTAATGATAGAGTATTTTCCATTTAAAAGATTATTTTCTATATATACAAGAGCAATAATAACGATGAATGTTGTATTTCTGAGATCTTCTCCCGATTCGAACTGTCCGGTTGGGCTTTCAGGATGTATGATATTTAAACCAGTTGAAGTGTTCCAGGTTCCTTTTATGCCAAGTCCTTCTTCCTTTAGTTCAATTATGTCCAATTCAATGTTTGTGCGAAAACCCATATGATCAAATTTGACAAGCCCACTCAGTCCTTGATATTCACTCTGAAAAAGATAAGAAAGTCACCACAACAGCTTTTAACAATTGAAATGAAAATTTTGAAATTTACAAACCATTTTCATGAAGTTCCTTATACTGTACCCATGCTCCCAAGCTCTGTCTTGTTCACATTCAATTGATCTTGGAGCAGTATTCATCTCAAGGTTTTCAATCGCTTTGAAAAAAAGTTGTACTGCATCATGGACCAAAGCCGTTTGAGTCTATAATTAAACTATAATAAATAAACTATCAAAGGAGTCACTCAATATAATTATTTTTATTGCATACTAGTGGTATTTTAACAGGTTCTTCTTCAGTTTGATTGTTTTCTTCTTTCGATCCGATTTCCCCTTCTTTTGTCATTCCTTGTTCATCAAATCCATTTCCTTCCTCATTTTCATCATAATTAGGCACCCCCCAGAATTCTTCATTGCGTCTTCTTCTCTTAATGATATCAGGATTCTTGAGGTTCTGGAAATACTTTCATTATTGGTTTATACGAAACATAAAAGAACTTACATCAAACATATTGTAGTTGTTATTGTAGTTCTTTTCTTCAACGTCATCTTCATTGTCTTCTGAAGTGTACCAAGATCGGACTACTTGCTTGAAATAGTCAGTCGAAGGTCTTACGATACGAATTCCTGTTATATTAGTTCCTGACCATTTAAAAGGTTCAAGATCGATGTACTGGAAATCCTGAAAAATTAAAAATTAGTTTGTTTATTAAAATAAATTTGATGTAAAATTTCCACTAATTATTATTATTTTAATTACCAATGATGATATAATGTAACTGTAATCTGAACCGGTGAGACCAACTTGCTGGGCTTGGAGCAATGCTTCATACAGTATATCAACAGAACATTCAAAAACAATGTTTTTCTCACCGGAATGTTTAATACCTTGGAATATTTTCCTAAATGTTTGCTTTATTAAAACATCATTAAATACTTTTTTATTTATTTAATTTTTTAAATTGACTACCTAAAATTGCCATCCTCGCCTTCCAATTGTCTAACAGTGACAACATAGCCCTTGTCATCTGCCAATTTTAAAAGGTCACCAATTTTTCTCAAACTGTAAAAATCATCATAGACTATTGTGAACCCTTTCCAGTTCCATGCTTTCACAATATCTTTTATTGCCTGAGAACAACATTTTATTTTATTTCAATTAATTATTTATTTAATCTAAGGTCTTGGTTGAGATGAAAAAGTTAGTGTCACGAGTAGGATCTGCTCTAACCACTTAGGCTATCATGACTTTGGTCCACTCGAACGCCAACTCCTCATCTCAGCTTACAACCTTTCAAATTTTCCCTCTTTTGCCATTTTTTAAATGTAGTGTAGTCAGGATTCGATTCTCAGCAACTTATGAGGTGGCCACAGGGAGCTGTTAGCAAAGTGATTACTTCTTTAATTATTTTATTAATCCAAATATGTTTAGCGGATCAGGATATGAGGTGTTAGTGCCTGAGTGGATTGAAGTCACAATAGCTCAAGTGGTTAGAGCAGAGTCATATTGAGCTGGAGGTTTGAATTCCGCTTGTGACACTAACTTTTTATCTCAACCAAGACCATAGATAAAATGAGTAATGCGTTGAAATAATTAATATGATCAATTTTGACCACTAAACATACATGGATTTTATTTTAAATCACATATTTCTAGCATGATACAATTTATTTAGTATTAATAGTAGTAGTTATTAATACTTGAGATAAGACAGCAGGGTGTGGATAAAGATTGAGTAAACATGATCCTGGGCTAATCTGGGGATCCCATTTATTTGACATGATGTGTGGAATTTCCTTGGTGTCACACTGCGATTGCACATGGCCCCAAGTGTGGGGTGATTGCGGACCAAATATTGCTGCTACACCTTCGGCCATCAGCTTGCAGACTGGAAATTAATTTATCTCGGTACTTTCCCTCCATATAAAGGAAATTTTATCACCTTCATTTCCAACAAGAAAGCTGTCATTGGGGTCAACCATTTGTATTAGACTTTCCAGCCTTGGAGATGTTGTTGGTTTATCTCTATTGACCATTGCTACCGCGTTGTTGAATGCTTTTATACCATCTTCATCTTCCTTTTCAAACAATGCACCTAAATGAATCAAATTAAAAGTAGCATTTAGAAAAATACTATTTTTATATAAACTGCCAATCTTCAACTTAATAACATATCACTTCAAAATGTGATAAAAGATTAGTTTAGTTGATTTGAACTTTCCTGACATGCCTACCATTGCTATTTTTGGACTATCAGATATTTTTCAACATTTGTTCAATAGTGGATTTATGGATGATAGGCAAACCATGATGATCAGTGGTCCAATAAAGTAATGTCTTGCATATAGGGAATATTAACTGTGAAGAATATTTAATTCGAAGGAGATAAATTTTTAATAATTTATTTGGAACCTGTTCTAAAGAATGTTTCTGATAGAGAAGATAAGAAGACCAGACAGATGAAATTTCAAGATTAGTACAGATAGAGCTGTTTGTAGGATGAAATATAATTAGAATTATGATTTTTGTTAGCTATATTTTTAAATAAATACTCATGTAGTTATTAACTCTCTCCCTCTCTTGTACTGCAGTTACAAATAGCATATACAATTTCAAGTTCTTTTCCATATTTTAAACTTACAAGCAGCTTTCTTACTTTTAGATACTTGCTGTCCATAATAACTAATATCTTTCAACATACTATAATAAAAATTTTAACCCTAAAGAAGTATAAGATTTTCAGTTGAAATACTTAACTCAAATTATGCAAAATTTGTTAAGCATTTTTAACATTAAGTTCATGTAACTTGTAAACCCCTTTATCCTACTTACCAACAAAAGGAATTTTTTGGTTTTAGACTTTATAGTTATTATTTTTAGAGAGAAAGAGAGAGTGAGAGGGGGAAGAGAGAGTAAGTGATGAGAGAGAGAGAGAGAGTGAGAGAGAGAGAGAGAGAGAGAGAGAGAGAGAGAGAGAGTGAGAGAGAGGTGTGGAAACAAGTCAGTTAGGAGGACCAATAGGGTGGGTCACTGCTGACTCCAGAGGCATATATATAAACTTGGAGCAGCAGAAAGACGCCTGTGCACGTATTCCCAGGAAGAAGAAGAAACAACTAAACATGTCTTCTATTTGTGCGAAGGCCTATGCAGTCATTGATTCTTTCTCCTGGGAGAGAAAAAGTCATGATCTTAATGAAATATACAGAAAAAAGCTTTATTATCTGGTAAAAAGCCTTATGCTTAATGAGGAGTTGTAGATAATAATGGAGATTGCACAATAGACCAATCACGCAAGGCCATAAAGAGGCTGATTCCTTTTTAACATTAACCTGGTTAAAGGAATACATAAGAGATTTATAAACTGGCAATCATAAAAATTTGTATGACCAAGTTTTAATTATAATCATTGTATTGTTAACATTACCTACCACAGTATTGAACTTGTTCTTTAGCATACAAACGTTGTCTGCAAATTATAAGATACTTACACCTCATAGTATATTTAGATTATTATATAAAATGGTAAATAGAATCTATTAATTATTGGGTGAAATGCATAATATTATTTAATAATTGGTCATTAGATTTTTTTAAGGAAAATTACAATTTGTTACAAGTTTGTACAACTTCACTAGACAATGTTGCATGTTAATTTTAGAGACTGTATATTATATTTCATAATTTTCATAAAACAATCTTAGTTTAAACTGTGTCAAAATTTGTTTGTCGTTAGTAACTGTCAGGAATGTGTTGCCTCCAAATCTGTTGACATACCGATTTTGATTATGGCCTCTGCCTGGTCGGAGTCATCATAGTTAAATTGTCCAGCTGTAGTTGTCAACAAAAGGCAATGAAAGATCCACTTTAACATGTTACACTTCATTTCAGCTCTGTCATTGGGAGTAACAACATTTTTTGAAACACTCTTCCTGGTAATAGAATTAAAAAACTCAAACTATTCTAGGTTTTGGCCTGCTGCCCAGGCATGTGCAGTGAACATCCAAATGTAAGTGAGTTGAAACTTTCCTTTTAATTGTCAAAAATAGGTGTAGGACAAATGGTTCTGTGAAAGATGTCAAGAAATAGATTTTATATAAAAAAGAGGTTTTTATTTGTCTGTAAAACTGAACAAGTTCTGTGTTTCAAAGTTAGCACTCCAACGAATTTGATGCCTTTAGTGGATCAAAACAATAGATACATTACATTTTAATGACAAAATGCTTACAATAAATTTCTAAAAGTACAAACTTTTTTATAAAGCATTTCTATTTTATAGAAAGCAATTGTCAAAAAGTGTTGTTCTTAAAACATCACAAAATATTTTATATATACAAATAGTATTCACATTCATTTTAACTATAATATACAATGATATCAAGTTATTAGCAATAAAAACCTTTAAATGAATAAGAACAAAATAATGTTTGAAGCCTTATTGTTTACTTATTTACAAAATGTACAAAACATGTTAAGTATAATTTTCTTATTTATAATAAGGAAAAATATCAAAATTATTATTAACAGATTTCACAATAAAACAGTTAAATATTGGAAGAGTCAATTTTTACAATAAACGTTCATAAATCACGTAATTGTTAAATAACAAATTTGTTTGCAAAATAACAAGTGGTTCTAAGATTTATTTATTATGAGACCTTATTTTGAAATAAATCCAAATTGGGGATATGTCCCCTCAGGGAAGAAGGTCGGGGTCTTCACTTTTTGATGTTTCAACATGGCGTCTGCTGTCTGCACTTGCAGGCCCGAATCACCAAATGACTTTATCTCTTTAATGTCTGATGGGGTTTCAGAACACAAAGGTGTCTGGAACAGGGTGGCAAGCAAACATAAACAGAGCATTAGTTGGAGATTTTAAGACCATTTGTCCAAGCAAACATTTGATTGCATTGAAAACTGGTATATAAAGTCTGGATTGGCGCAAAACAAAATTTTATATTTGATTATTTAGACATATAATCAGCAAACCAAAACAAAAACTTAGCAGTCACCAACTAGCCTCCATAAAAATTGGAAAAAAAATATATTGAAGTTTAAAAATTTAGAAACAATTTGTTTATTGTGTGGCTATAAAATTTAAAATTTATAAACTCTACTTTAAGAATATTTGTTACTTTACTTTGGTTATGCCCTATCATTCTGGGCTTTATATCGTTCAGTTGCTAGATAGTAAATTGCTTTGGGTAGATTTCCTTCAATAGATTGAAGCAAAAAAATAAGCCATTGAAGAAAACGGATGCTGAATCCTACAGATCTTACTGGGAAGATTATAGGCAAGCAAACTACATGTTCATAAGCTTAAAGACCTTAACATCTCATTTTTCAAATTATTTTTAAGTTAGCTGGAAAATGATAAATAAGAAAAAAGTAAAAACTCGCCACCAGACAGTTATAGTTGATATGATCTAAATACCCACAATTCTGTATGGTTTTCTTCTTAATTAGAATTAGCAACTATTTTGATTGGTTATGAGACTAGAATATGTAAAAATATTCTTTATTAATTATAATCAAAAAAATTACCACTCACCTCCTAATTAATACCCCGTAAGCACAAACAGAAAGACGCAATACACTTATCCATTAAATTTCACAAATAAAAATATTTTAAAACAGGTTTTATAATTAAATTTTGAAATTGGTAACATTCATAAAAAATGAGTATAACTTAAAAAATGATATATATAAAAATTGCAAATATACACCAGCTAGACAACAGTTCCAGTCCAAACAATAAACTAACAAGTAGTATAGTTTTCACAGTATTTGATATTGTCATTTATCGACATAAAATTTGAGCACAAATTAAACTTCAAGAACAAACAATTATGTAAATTTGAATATCATTAAAAATTTATTATTTGAAACATTGAAATTGGTTCAATTGGGGGTGTCGCCCAAGTCGGGGGTTAGTGGTCAAGTAAGAGGACTGCTCACCCGTTCTTCGACAGCTACTTTCCGTGACTTCCATACGAATTCACACACTGCTATAACACAGGCAACGCCCATGCCGCCCATCAACACTACAAAAACACCACCAACATTCGCCAGACTCAGCTCATTTGCAGCACTGCTTGTTTTCAAAGTTTCATCCTGAAAATTATAAGTTATACAAGTTGAAAATTGAAAGGTATACAAGAAAAGAACTTTTTAGGTGTATATTTACCCTGCAAGCACCTCCACCACGTTTTTCCTTCCACCAACGAGTCTTCAGCATATGAAGTTTTCCTTCTTCTTGAAGCTTCAATACAGCTCCACTAATAGCTGTCCTATATGGTGAATCTGAAAAATCAATCAAATTACCATCAAAAACTGTCAAAGTTAATTTTTTAAATTCTTACTTGGTGGCATTGCAATCCCATAGCCTTTAGAGTCAAGAAGACCTCCAATCTGTGTCAAATCGCAGTTTCTTTCGATAACATATTCTATACTTGTCGATTCCATCAGAAAAGCATAATTCCCTTTGCCTTTTATCACCCTGTCCACTCCATCTGAATTGGAACTGGTGAAAACAATCGGCCTTGCTGATTCCATGAAAGACCACATCCTTTGATAAGTGGAAAAGTTGGAATCCTGAAACAATTTGCAAAATGTTGAACTGAGCCAAGCCTAAAACCAGTCGTTTTTACCCGAAAAAAAGCGACAGTTGAACCGCCGCCAAGTGCGCCATATTTTATTTTTGTCTGTTTTGCCAAGTCTTCAGCACTTTCAATTGGTGAATCCATCCTTTCAACAGTTAGGAATGCAGCCAAGTTAGCTGTATAAGATGAGATCATTATGAGCGTGAAGAACCACCACATACCAGCCACCATTCTAGTCGAAACTGCTCTGTAAAAACAGTTGTTGAAATATTATTATTATTTTTTATCAACGTAATGAGTTATATTGTATTTTAAAACATAAAATTGGAGTCGTGCATTTGTTTATTCACTGTGGGGTACCAGCTTGGCATGCTCATCATATTTCATAACAAATAAAGCTTTTATTGAGTCTTTTATTTAAGATAGATAAAATTAAAATTTGTACAAGAAGACAAAAATAATGAGTTCTATCAAAACAAGGTTTCTATAAATTTTAGTGTTAAATTTAAATTGACAATTCTATCTTATTATTCACTCCAATTTGTTAAAAATACAACTCACTTTGGAGCAATATCAGATCCTTGCTGCATGAGCGACCCGATGGTAAACCACAATGAGTTGAGGAGGGAGAACTGGTTGTCAAGGGCTTCGTCATCGTGACACGGATGTGGAGATTCCCATTCATAAGGACTGAATCTGCACAGTCCACAGACATGCACTATAGTCTACTTGTAAATATTTTTCAGCATACTAATGGACAACAGGGCTCGGGTGCCATGGTGTACCACGTTCGGCTGATATCTTACTTGGGGAGGAAGTCACATCCCTGCTGCATAAGTGAACCGATAGCAAACCACATGCAGTTGAGGAGTGTAAACTGATTTTCCAAATGGTCTGGGTTCGGATTGCAAGGATGTGGATTCTGCCATTCATAAGGTGTAAACCTGTTAACAATAAAAATCTCTTCCTTCTAACTTTTTTTTGCTTATGTCCATCTTGTTTGGCAATAGTGAAACTTTTCTTTTAACTATCACTCTTAGAAATATCTTTCAAGTTTATTATTTATAATGTTATAAATGTCATTCAAAATATTCTTAGGTACCACTTTTTGCAAGTGATAAATATAAATCTTTCCTCAATAAGTTTATAGTGGTACTAAAACATAATTGGACTAAATCAGTCCAATATTCACCTAAAACTTAATTACCAATTCAAAAACATGTTTTATAAATAACTTTTTAAATTGATTTATTCATCAATAGCCTCAGTGTTTTTCTTGAATATTTTTGCATAAATAATCAATATTAAATAAACATGGTTATTTTTACCTTGCTAAAATGAAAAGCAAAACAGAAACTCCAAGATAAGCTGTTGCCATGTAAATCCATACATCCAATGACAATGGGGACAAGAATGAAAACAAATTTGGAGGCTGTTTAATTGGTTTTCTGTATAAAATGCTTATTCCTGGAATTAAAATTTGTTTAAACATTGGCCAATCAAAGTCAATTAAAACAATTCTAATTTTTACAATAGACTTACCAAGATTCATAAATGGCATGGTGAAATCTACAGCTTGCTCTCTTTCATAAGTAATTGTCAAATCAGCTATTGCTAAATCTGCTCTCTGAAAACATTTGATGTTTAAGTTTAATATTTTGAAATGTAATGTTTTGATTTACCTGATCTAGAAGTTCTCTGATCATTCCATCCCATTCTCGAGTTTCTTTGTTAAACGAGCCATATCGACCATCTGGAACTAGTACGATTTGATAGTTAAAATGAAGTATTCTAGATATTTCGTATATCAGGTCGACACTGTAGCCCTCGTACTGAGCATTGCCTACTAGTTTATCGCTTGAATCTTTTCTCATGCAATATGGTGCACTCTGGAGGAAAAAAAATTGTTAAAAAAAGAAACTTTTTTACAAGTATCACCATACCAAAATTGTTGTCACTATCATTGTTTTGTTTGACAGATTTTCCACGATCTGGTGGATCATTTCATTGTAAGTTCTCGTAAAATTGATACCCTCAGTTGAGTTCCACGAACCAATTTTCTGAAGTCCTGTTTTCGTCAATTCTATAATATCTAATTCAAAATTGGATCGGAATCCTTGATTGTCAAATTTGATAACTCCAGTCAGCCCTCGCATTTCAACCTGGAATTTTTCGATACAAAATAATGCTTAAAACGAAAAAAGTTTAAAATTTTTGTATTTACGATTTTCATATAATTTATTAAGCTGTAGCCATGAGGCCAAGTGTCCAATGCATCACAGCTCAGAGGTTTAATATCAATCCTCTGACTACTGTCAAGATCATGAAGGGCTTTTGCAAATAAATGAACTGCATCGTACATCAAGGCTGTCTCTGCCTGAAATTTCAGAGCATATTATTCCAGGTGAAATATTGAATTTCTAAGCTGTCAATTACAGGGATGAGGTCGGGTGTATTAATATCAAGTTTCCTTCCTTGGCGTTGTTCCGAAGCTATCCAGTCTTTAACTATTCGTTGTACTTCATCGTTTGTAGGGTCAACTAACCGAAGTGCAGTAATGTTAGTGCCACCGTATTTGAACTCTTCTAAATCTACACTTTGTAAATCCTGAAATATAAAATATTTTTCCTATCAGCAGTGACAAATGTATTTGGAAAAGGCACATCAATTAAATTTTTATATATAAATTTGTCAAAAATCTCTTTAAGAAAGGGGATTTAAACATATTTGCTTCTTAAATGATCACTTATAGGTACTTCAAGTTTATTTTATTTTATTTTATTTTTTGCATTGTTTTGTCAAAATAATATTTGAAAACTTTACAAGTTTTTAGAAAACTTTTTGGCTTAAGTACAATAGAATAACCAACTGTTCTGCATAATGGCAATTATAACATCTGTGTATGGGGTGGTTAATTGAATCCCTTTCTTCTGATACAGCCTAATTTACGTCTGAGACGAACTTTCCAATTTGGTTTAATTATATTCTTACATTAGGACAGTTTTAATTAATTACCATGCTTTTACCTATTTTTTGAACTGTTTTAATCATATTTGCATTAGAAAAAAATTTTAATTTCAAAAGTACTTACAAGTGAAGTAATTAAATAGCTGTGGTAATCACTCATCATTCCTATTTGTTGAGCTTGTTTTAAGACATTATATATTTTATCTGTGGAGCAATCTAGGACTATATGAGATTCTGCTGAATTTTTTATTTGCTTTAGTAATGGCCTAAAAGTAAAAATGAAATTAACCACGTTTTTTTGCAAGATAGTATTAAATTGTATACCTGTAATCATTTCCTTCAGGAAGTTGCCTTACGGCAATGGGAAAGTCAGAAGGGCCATGGGCTTTTAGTAATTCCTGCAGCCTCACCAGTCCTTCGTTGCTTTCATAAATAATTGTGAAGGATTTCCATCCGAAGGCTTCAACAAGCTGAACATAGGCCTGGAAGGAGACAATCGAGAATAAATTCTTGAATAATAAACTTGTTTGCACACCCACCTTGGACAAAATGGTTGGATGGGGGTAAAGATTGACCAAACAGCTCTCCCTGCGCAACCTGTAGTCCCACCTCGTTTCTAGGTGTGGGATCTCCATAGTATCGCAGATAGACTGAACATGGCTCGCCGTCTGCGAGGACTGAGGGCCGAATATTGCGGCAACCCCACTCCGCAGCAAATGGCAAACTGTAAAATTATGTTAACATGAGATATTTGGTTTTGGAAATGGGGATACCAGAGTACCTCTTTTTGAAGCATGGAAACTGTCTTGTGGAGAGATTTTCTCAATTTGTGCAGAAAGGCGGGATCTAGGCAAAATCGTCCTATCAGCATTTATGCGCTCAACTGCATATTTAAATGCTATTTCTTGTTTGTCATCCGCAGGATGAAATAAACCTCCTGGAAAAAAGTCAATTGTTAAACCAGGATATTGATGATGTGTAATATTTAATATAAATTTAGATATTGCAAATATTTTTTCAATGCTGTAAGATAATGACAACTTAGGAAATATAAAATGTCAAATAAATATTTATATATTAATTAATAATCAATAATGGAAGGAAACATCCCGATTGCATGCATACTAGGAACATAAATTAGTATGTTTTACTAGTAATTATTAATGGCATGAATAAATATGGTGATTGACTTCAATTGTAACCCGTTTTTAAGATGTTAATTTCACAATTACTACTAAGCTCAGTGATGAGTTAATTGGTGTAATGTTTACAAAAGGCCACTTTGCCTATTATATTTTGTCATATAAACTTTGGACCCAACCGCTTTGAAGGTGTATTGTTTGACAGTTGAGGTAGAACCAAGTTATTAGCAGAGCTTTAGCCAGACAAGGGTAAAATTACAATTTTAAGTAATAATAACTTTCCATAGAGGCTGGAAGAAATTTAATTTTCCCGTTTCACTTCAAAGGATCATTTGAAAAGCTACGAAATTTAGCTATGTGGTAGAATCTTCTTGATTTGCCTTACATAAAGTAGCTATGAACGTGGGATTACCGATTTCAATGAAACTTTTTTTTGTGATACTGAAAAATTATTATAAACATGCCCGAGCATTCTTGCCATTTGGTTATAGGAGCCGAGAAAAAAATACCATCAATTTACATAGTTTATAAAAATTTGTTTTTCTGCCTTTGTTGAAACGTTGATAAGGCATTTTTTTCTTCTCGTTGTCCAAAAATTCCTAACTTTACTGAATTTCATTCAATTCAAAGTTATGACAACCGTTGTTGGAAAACTGGATTGTTCTAGTCTATACAAACAACGATTGATTTTATGCGACTGTCAGTGAGGAAAATAAAAAGTAAATCGACCGAAAACATCAAACGTTTTATATTATATTTACAGTTCTTATTTTCTTACGGTGTTGTTTGCCACACATCAATCAATTTTATCTCTAAATTTTCGTCTTGCAAACCCACAAATTTTTCGAAATTTGGACAACAAAATGGGGACAACTTCGAAACGGTTCCACCGATTTAAAAACGAAAAAATTACCTGCAATAGTTATGGCTTATTAGGGTGCTATTCTTTGGCTCCATATAGAGAGCGCGTGGGATTTGAAAATTGTACTTGTGCACGGAAGCGATATTTGGTTTCTCTATTCCAATTTTTGGAGGAAACAGAGTTGTTTTATTGTATATAGTATTAATAGTTTTATGTTCCGATCTTGTGTGTAGTGTGATCCGTGTAGTGTGTTCCGATCCGTGAATGTGTAGTGTGAGGGCCGATGGCGGAATGTTGGGTACTCCATTGTCCCTTAATTAGGCTAGTTATACAGTAGATATAAAGGTTGATGGAGGAATATTGATCACTACCTTAACTAAATGAATGGCATGCAAATATGAAAACCGGTATTTAAGAGTGAATGAGAGCATGAGTGATTACTATGGGGGCTGAAATGACCTAGCTGTTGATAGCCCCTGCAGCCCAACCTCAGCGGTTTAACAGATAAGACTAAGGTCTGATCGGGTGGGTGATCCTCGAGGTCTGCTGGCAATTTTTCTAAAATACCATAGCTGGAATTGCCGGTGGACTGTCATCCACCCTGGGAGTTGTGGCCCATTCAATATGGTACCATAGCAACGACGGGTGGTACAATGTTTTTAAGGTTCGGGGCCCTGAAAAGGTGCACCTCGTGTCCTCATCCACGTCCCTTTCTCAATCTAGGTTCCTTCATTCTAACCTGTGACCCCCTCCCAACTCTTGGTTACAAGGGGGGGGGGTCCGGGCGCAAAATAAAGGTGTAGCCCAGAGAGCGTGGCAACCTCTCTAAAGCACAAGCTGTACTCGCGTCGGCTTCGGGTCGGCATGAGCGGCGGGTGCCTTATCAGAGGCACACGAGGGTTAGGGAAACAGATCCTGTGTGCATAGCCGGGGGAGGGTGCATAACCATCTGTACTACGGGGTAACAGAAATAAAACGTCCGATAAGGCCGCATAGGCTAGGTGCGGACGTTAAAGATCCTCTTGTCTTGTTGACGATGAGTAATCGGGGTACAGAAATATTCCAAAATCAGCCCCTGTTACACTGGGAATGGATTCGTAGTGGTACGTGGTGACGCCCCTGGCGGGAACTTGGAGAAGAGGCTGTCTTCTGCCTGTGACCTTCGCACGAAACTTGCGTATGACAACCTCTTTACACCCGGCCTCACGGGATAGGGCGGATCGGACGGCAGCGTATAAGCGTTGAGGACGCTATGATTATACTGAAAAGTCCCTCGAATGCGTGAGTAGTGGCGGATGGGAACGGGTAGTGAGTCGGTTGCTCCTATTCGAGTATGCTTTGCACGTAGGTGTAGGTTGAGCTCGATTGGAGGCTTTTACCGTAGGCGGTACTCCTCTAGGGGTTGGTTAGAAATTCCACTATAAACAAAACCGCGGCCCGAGCGGATCCGGTAGTTTCTACCCTGGGGAAGCCCCAATACTCTGGGAGATAGAGTGGCCTTATCTATATCTAGGGAGTGCGCGGGAGACCGGGCTGATGTATTTCGGCTTAAGTAACCCTTTGCGCGCGGCATACGGTCTGATGCTTAATGCAGACCCAACCACTCAGAATGGGCAAGCGGGGAGCGAGGTTGTCTTGGCCCTTCGGGGCTGAGCTGCCTCTACACCAATGCTGCGGCGGTAACACCATTCTGTCTATGTGGAGGTGCGTCAGCTCTCATCTTCAGAATCAAAATGTCCGATAAGGCCGAACAGGCAAGGTGCGGACGTTAAAGATCCTGATTGTCCTTTTTAGGACGACCGAGTATACTGGAAAGACTGCCGGTGGACTGCGAGAAGTGATAGGCTCTACTCTCACGACACATACAACAGTGTGTGTGTATGTACAATCGTGTGCAGATTTGAACTTATGTAATGAATCAGTTATCAGTAATTTACTCATTCTGCTGTTTATTTGTTTGGTGAGTTGAGGAAATTAATTAACAACCCTGCCCATTACCTCTCATATTTATGTAAATAAAAGATGTCAGTTGTTTTGTGGTGACTGATTGTTTGAAAACTAGTGGTCTGTTGGTGCAATAGCACCATTTTATTGTCGGAATCCTGGAACAAGTGAACTGTACTATTGTTAGTCATTCACGACGGTTTTATTTTCTTATGCTGTCATGCATTTTCTTATGACTCACCATAAGGATAGATCAGTGGGTACAACATGGGATCGCTATGAGTGCTTAAAACAAAAATTAACTTAGGACAGTTTTGCGATAGTACACAACGATGTGTCGATGACTAGGCGGTTCTCCCTCTGAAGAATGGAAAGCTCCAACTGTAGCCTTGTTAAATCTACGCATATCCATCAGTACGCTATCAACAACACCCAAATTCAAGTTAAAACTTTCGTCTTGCGTTGTTTCAGCTGCAGTCCGTGCTTCAGCATAGCATAAGGGTTTTTAGCCAAAGTGCCACCAAGTGTTTTCAAAAATGCGCGGTCTAGTTTTTCTAGGCGTCCTGAACACACAACCACAGCTTTCGAAGAGACTGTAAAACATAAGTGACCGTATAACAGAACTTTACCCTCACGTGGCAACAAATCCGTTATTGTATTTTAAAGCAGTAAGGTCCAACTCCTGAAAGTTCTTTCCTTGTGGTAGAAAACGGGCAAATGTCATTGCGGTGTTGTGATTCCGTTTGTGGTTCATAAAATTTGGACATTTAAGGAATAGTTCCTTTACATCCAAACGGATTTGTGGTACTGGGAGTGAAACAAGGCTATTGTAACAGCAAGAGTTAAAATGGCAGCTGGTTTTCTTGCCCCCAAAGTGTTCGTATAGTGCATAATGCGGTGCACATAGATAACATCCATTGAACCTAATCTCTCCTCGGGTTTGGAGTTTTCGGCCACTTCTTCCTTGATTATTCATTCCAACTATCAGACTGTTAAGGTTAGTGGGTCGTACAACAAAATACAATCAAACAACAGTATAACATTCCCGGGTTCGAATCCAGCGGCCCTGAATTCAAACTCAACATACCTACAAATGAGTTTTTTTTTTTTTTTTTTTTTTTCAAATACACCGACATCCCGAGAGTTGATACCCTTGCTGTTGCGAAGCGTCATAAAAAATGTGGATTTGTTTGATTTAGAATTTAATATATGCTGAAAATATTTTTTAAAAACAAAGTTGGCAATTGCAAGTAGAACGTTTTTAATTTTAAGAGATGAGGAAATTAGCTATAAAATTGACTGTAAAATTAAATTCTTCATCGAGGGGGGCATCATTATACCTTTAACTGTCTCCAGTAGAACTAAATGTCTTTCATTAGAATTAATTTACAAGTGCTTGTAATAAAAAAATAATTATGCTAAAATGAAATGATTGTTACAATATCACTTAATTAAACTTTATGCTTTCATTTCATAGTTCAATATAAGTTAGTCAAAGAAGTGATTAATTTTGTGAAAAGCATTAGTAAATGAAATAACTTAGAAGCAAAAGAGCTGTGCACATCAAAGAAAATGATTTAGCCTTCCATTTTAGCAATTTCTATATAATGTTAACATATATAAATTGAAATGTTAAAGCAAATAAATAATGCTTCAAGGTTTTATTTATTAATTTTTTTTTAAATATAGACAATATTATTGAATTTAATGATATTATCTACAGTTAAGAGGGTTTGACGCAAACTTGATAAAAGAAGAGAATGTTTAATTGGAAGGAAGAAAAACAGTTTTTTCTCCTTCTGCCTTTTGAAATGGAAAATAGGTTTAGTCATTATTCACGGTTCCGTGGCCTCAAGGGAGAAACAAATCATGTACGGTTGTCAAAGAGCTTTTAAAGAAACCTGAAAACAAGAAGCTTTGCCGTTTACCCCTTTTCCATCAGCAGAGGAACGAGAGAAAAAGCAAATTCGGCAAATCGAAAATAAGATT